TTTTAATATTAAATTATTTCTTTATTTTATTTTAAAGTAATATAAATTTGCCGATTTAAGAACGCAGGCTCGAAATGTAACAATTATTAACTAACAATTCTTATTATTAGTACAACAAAACATAAGAGGGGGAATATAAATCAAAAATAGTGCTGCCATCTCTTAATCATATCTGTGGATATATATATATGTGTGTCCACAAGATAAATTAATATTTTAATAAGTAATAATATGACTACACTAATATAACTACATTCACAGGATTGATAGGACTGACAGGATTGATTATTTTTAATGATAATAATATTAATTATTTTATATAGTAACGTTCTTTTGTTTTGTACATGTCGTGTGCACAGCATGCTACAGCCACTTCCCCTCCTATAAAGATTAATAAAAAGAGGAATATGGTGGTTAAAAACAAAAGAAATCATATTTAAAAATTGAAAGTAACTTTTTTTTGAATTTTTATATTATCAGAATTGATTGCCTCGCTGTGGTGACATGTTGAATTTTCTTTTAAAAGAAATGCTGGTTTAAGGTTGTTGATGTTAACAGCTACTTCCTTGTTATTTTTGAAAATTACAAAATATTTCGGAAATGTTTTTATCACTTTAAATGGGCCTTCATATCTTGGTGTTAAAGAGGGTTGAATCCCATTAATTTTGACAAAAACAAATTTTGAAATGAATAAATCTTTATGAATAAATGGTTTTTGGTTAGAATGAAAAACTGTGTTTACTGGTTTCAAACAAGAGAATGTTTCTCGTAAACTAGATAGCAATGGATCAGATTCCAAAGGGTGTTGAATATTAACAAAAAATTCTCCTGGAAGCCTAAGTGGTTGACCGTATACAAGTTCAGCAGATGAACAACCTAGGTCTTCCTTAAGAGATGATCTGAGGCCTAGGAGAACCAAGGGAAGATCATTGTTCCACCTCGTAGTGTTACCTCTGGCAGTTATGGCTGTTTTTAAAGAACGGTGAAACCTTTCTAAAATTCCGTTGCTTTGGGGATGGAAGGTGGATGTATGAATTTGACGTGTTCCTAGAAGGGTGTGAAATTTTGAAAAGAGTTTTGATTCGAATTGTCGTCCCTGATCATGGGTTATAGTGCTAGGAATGCCAAATCGGCTGAAATAATGCCGAAACAAAGTATCCGCAATAGAAGAAGAACCAATATCTTTGAGAGGAAAAGCTTCTGGCCAACGCGTGAAACGATCTATTACGGTGAGCACATATGTGCAGCCAAGGGACGGAGTGAGAGGACCGACCAAATCAATGTGGATATGATCGAATCTTAATTTTGGTATCGGAATTTTACTAATAGGTGATTTTGTGTACTTTTGAACTTTTGTTTGTTGACATCGCAAACAGGTTTTTGTCCATAACTGAATGTGTTTTGTCATGTGAGGCCAAAAGAATCGTGTTTTGATGATGTGTGTAGTAGCGCGAATACCAGGATGTGTTAAGTTGTGAAATTTGTTGAAAATTGTTTTACGAAATTTTTGTGGTATGTATGTTCGAGGATTGTTTGTTGAAATGTCGCACCAAAGCTTTACATCTGAATGTGATGTTGTTTGTTGCGATAGGTTATATTTAGTAGTTTGTGTCTTTGAGTATTGTTTGTTTAGTAAATGTGTTAATTCTGTATCGTTAAATTGCGCGTTTTTTAAGGTTTGTGTGTCAGGGTACTGTGAATTTAGAGAATCAATATTTGTTCTGGACAACGTGTCCGCTACAATGTTTGATTCTCCTGTAATGTACCTGATATCTGATGTGAATTGTGTTATGTAAGTAAGATATCGTGTCTGACGTGGAGTTTTTTCTGTGTTAGAAAAAATTGTGTTGATTAGAGGTTTGTGGTCAGTGTAAACTACAAATTGATGTCCATGTAAAAAATGTTTAAAGAATTTGATACTAGTGTAAATTGCTAACAATTCTCTATCAAAAGTTGAATAATTTATTTGGCTTGAAGATAATTTTTGAGAAAAAAATGCTAAAGGTTGTGTTTTATTGTCTATAGTCTGTGATAAAACTGCTCCTATACCTTTACTTGAGGCGTCTGTCGTCAGTGAAAGAGTTGCTTGTGGTGATGGGTGTGCAAGAGTGACGGATTTTGATAAAAGTTCTTTGGCTGTAGTGAAAGAAATGTCGTGAAGGTGTGTCCAAGAGGTGATTGATTTAAGTTTTTGTGAATAAAGTGTTTTTGATAAATGATGTAAAGGAGCTAAAATGTTTGAGATGTTTGGTAAAAATCTGTGATAAAAATTTATCATTCCTAAGAATCGCTGTAATTGTTTTAGTGTGGTTNAGGAGTGCAACCGAAACAACACGAGGTAGTCTCCTTTGCCACAATTTTAATAATAAATTTGGACTAACCACCTGAGAACCACCAACCGTGGTCAACATCGCTCGATAAAAATCTGACGGTTTTTGATCTCCCATTTGCGAACCTAACAGAACATCGTCCAGCCGTTTTTCTTCACTCAATGATAACCTGTCGATTAACAATTTTTTGAGTGAAGAATATGGATTTATGTCTGGAGGGTTCTGTATGAGATCTACCACGGTAGAGATGATCTCAGTGGGTAAATTTGCCAAAAGAATGTTAAATTTTGTTTTTTCACTGCTAATTCTAGTTAGAGTAAACTGTGCTTCAACTTGTCGAAACCAAATATCGGGATTAGAAGGCCAAAATGGTGGTAATTTCAGTTTTGAAATATTTTGCAATTCGTGTGCGGTATTGTCACCATCAGCAGGGTCAATCATTTTTAATAAAAAATTGTCTAGAAAATACGTTTAGGTTTTCTATTAAAGTAAAGTAATTTTTTTAATATTTGTTTTTGTTAAATAAAAATTGTTGAAAATATGATTAATTTTTTGATTCCTCTTAATATTAGTCCTACAGGAATGAAAAGTGAGTTTACTCACCGGCACACGACTGTAAACAAAACGTTTAGAATCTTGATGGTTGCGGGACTGGGCTGGCGCTTGTTGTAACTTGATGGAATGACTTGACGTCTTATTGTCAATTGACGTAATATGGCTTGGGTTTGATTTTATTGGGTATGGGTAGAGCGCAGATTCAAATATTTCGTCGGGGGCAGGTTCAAGCTAATCTTCAGGTGCAGGTATAAAGTAATCGCTGGGGTTAGTTCAAAAAATTCGTCGGGGGCAGGTTCAATTTTCGGGTGCAGGTATAAAGTAATCGTTATGGTAGGTTAAAAAAAAAAAATTCGTCGGGGGCAGGTTCAATCTTCGGGGTCACCAAATTGTGGATATATATGTATGTATTCACAGGATTGATAGGACTGACAGGATTGATTATTTTTAATGATAATAATATTAATTATTTTATATAGTAACGTTCTTTTGTTTTGTACATGTCGTGTGCACAGCATGCTACAATATCCATTATTATTAGAAAATCCACCACCGCCCCCATAGCGGACAAATCCAAAAATAACACTTTAAGCGTTACTAATTTTAGTAATTTTTACGTAACGGTTAGCAGTCTGGTATAAAATAGTCAATGATACTATAAATTTGAAGAATGTTATAGTGCAAGTGTAAAAACAACTTGAGTTATGTAACCAAATTTACTGGAAATTGTTTCCTCGTTTCTCCATAGAGGGCGTTGTTTACGAAAATATGTCAAATACAAACTTGTTTTTTCTCTAAATGAAACAATTTTAAATAAATAATGACCTTAATAAGTAAAGAAAAGTGTTTAGAGTTACATTGAGATATTATTTTTAAGGTATGTACCCTAAAAATAAAATTTGTGTTAAATAATTAACCCTAAAAATTAAAAATTAACGATTTAACTAATTTTTTAGGTTATAACTTAATAGATCAAATTATTTGGGTGTTTTTTTCTTTAAAAATCGATACCGAATGAAGTAAAATTTAAAAATTTAATTCTACAATAAAAATGTAATGAGGAAAGTTGGCGGAAGAAAAAAAAAGCGATAAAGGCTTCCTAGCAGCAGAGATGACGTTTTAGAGAAGATGTTGCAGCATAACCATGCTGGACTGAGTTGAAAATGAGGAAATAAGAAGAAGAATGACGGCACAAAACTCAATAATAGACACTATAAATGAAAGGGAACTATATGGATATTTACTCTGTATGAGTAAAGAGATAATCCCACTTAAGGTTTGAATCTGGATGCCAGCAGAAGGAAACAACAAAGGTAAGCTTAGGAAAAAAGGATCCAGGATATCAATGTAGAGATGAGGAGGAGTGACTGGGTGGAGATGATTCTAATGATAAGAACCGCTGGAGGTTGAGATGCGAAAAACGGCAATAAAAGAAGCTGCAAATACTCGCCAAATAGAATAGAATAAAATTTAGCGAATTAGGTTGTTGTTTATTTTGAATACTACGAACTTCAAGAACGTTATAGTTAAAATAACTTCAGTTATGCAACCAAATTTACAGGAAATTGTTTCTTCGTTTCTCAATAGAGGGCATTGTTTACGAAAATATGTCATTAAATACAAACTCGTTTTTTCTCTAAATTAAACAATTTTAAATAAATAATGAGCTAAATAAGTAAAGAAAAGTGCTTAGAGTTAAATTGAGATATTATTCTTAAGGTATGTACCCCAAAAATAAAATTTCTGTTAAATAATTAACCCTAAAAATTAAAATTTAACGATTTAACTAATTTTTTAGGTTATAACTTAATAAATCAAATTATTTGGGTGTTTTTTTCTTTAAAAATCGATACCGAATGAAGTAAAATTTAAAAATTTAATTCTACTGGATATTCGTTTAATTTTGGGTATATTCATTTCGTTTCCTTCTCGTCTTTACCAGATGCTTGATCATCGGGGGCCCCCTACTCCGGGTTGGTAATTTATCTATCCCACTTTATAACCGTAGGTTAAAACGAGATAACCTCTGGGCACATGAGGGTTGTTTTTTGCTAAAGCAGCCGGCCGAATAGAAGCGCATGCGTTTGGTTCGTTCTCGGAGTGCTCCCCGCACCTGTTACTTCCACTACGGTCCCATTGTACAGCGACACGCCGACCGGTTAAATTCAAAAAGCAGCCCAGAGACATACAGACTGATACAGATTTGAAAGAAGAACATCTTTTTCATCAAAGAAATCTTAAACTATCTTTTATTTACCAAACCAAAAATTTATAAGAAGTTGAAAAAGAATTTGAAAAAATATGTCGTCGGAACAAGAACCCCAACCAACGGAAGAACAACAACCAAAAACTGAGAACAACAGCAGCGTTGAGGAGGACATCAAGGAAAATGGCACTGGGGACGCCGCTGCCGCCAACGCCGCTTCTTCGCCGGCACCTCAACAAACGGAAAACAACGATAACGATGCACAAAAACCAAAAGAAATGAGAGCCGTTGTTCTTATGAGCTTTGGTGGATTAAAATCTGTTAAAATTATGAAAAAAGATGAACCAACAGCCGGCGAAGGAGAAGTTTTAATTCGAGTTAAAGCATGGTAAGTTAACTTTTTTTTCATTTTAAGCTCAAAATTTCCTAAATTTACCGGCGAAATAATTTTTGCAAATTTTTATTAATATTAACATGTAAAATACAAAAAAAAATGTTTCAAAAATTCCCGTGAATCATCAATATTAGGGTTGGGTTCCAGGGAAAATTAAGGGGTGGGTGTTTTCCAAACATATGTCACCAAAAAATCAAGTTAATTTATCTTAAAACTACTTTAAAGTTTTCTCAACCAATATAAAATCAACTTTAAAACATAAACAACAAAACAAATCCTTTTGTTATCATCTTTTTACGATTCAAACTATTCAAAAAAAAAAAAAAGTAAAACAAGGAAAGGAAATGGAAAGATAACGCCACATTCTTTATATTTTCCACGACGCATTTTTAACCTATATTAATAAATCTTTTAAAAGAATCTTATCAAATCTAAATGCAAATTATTCATTAAATGCTATTAAACGTAATTTGTAATTTTTATTCTGAACCCAAAAATATTGTGTGGGTGTGGTCTTTTTCGATTAGACAAGAAGGAAATTGCTGTTTCCCTTTCGATGTGGTGTTTCTGTAACGATTAATTTTTGTGGTGGTGGTTCGCAATGAGAGATTGGCCGCGTTATTGAAGTGTTTTCGATGGGTCATTATGATTCATTATTGTTGCTCTCGACGCCCCGTGTTGCGGACGCAAAATCAATATCGTTCTGCATCCTGCTATTTTACGCGTAAATGTCTTTATACATAGTGATAATGTGTGTGGCACATAAAATGATATTGATTTATAAAAAGTATTTTCAAAATGATTTATATACTTGAAATATTTTACTGTTGATTTATGTTTGTAATTTGCTAAAGAATTTTATGGTTTAGAAATTTAAATTCACGGTCTGATGATTCTCTCTTGTGTTATTTCCAAAGTTATTTCAATTTCCGTTATTAAATTTAATTGTGTATTAAATTTCAAAAACGCTCAATAATCTTAAATTTGTTAATTTAAGGTTGAACTCTCTTATATATCTAATGTGATTTTTTTATTGCACAAAAAATTCTTAAGAAATGACAGAAAATCCATCTCTTAAAACCAACGACATTGGTATGATGGGATTTCGCCACCTATAAGATCTATTGCAACTTAAGCCCTTCAAAGGTTTATTGAAAATCAAGGTCTTTGGCGAATCTTAGTATTGCCCCAAAGTATTTTTCATTTATGTCAGCTTTATGTTCAGCAGTTTCTGACTTGTAGTTGCAAAGTCAACAAGTTTGATCCTCAGCTTATCCAATATTGAAGTGATGATAGTTTATGCTGAGGAATAAAGTCTCTTTGGCCTCGAAGAATAGCTCTGTATCCTGGACGTTCTTTCCAGCGCAAGGCTACCTTTGAGTCTTCCCACGTATTAATCACTTAATTTAAGTGGCTGTTTTGTAGTCCACAGCCGAGTTGGGGTCTAATAACGGGCGTCTTCGCTGTCCCTTTGGCCGACTTGTCTGCCTTTTCACATCCCACAATGTCTTTGTAACCTGGAACCCACCATAGGATAACTTCATTATCCCTGGTTTAGCCCTGAATTACCTTTTGGGCGGCCCAACTATCTGTAAAGATGTATATCGATGCCCCTTTCTATTCCTTCTCAAAGTTCAAGATGGTGCAGAAGTTTATGGCAAGAACTTTAGCCTGAAAAAACAGCCTCTTTGAAGCTGTTGAATTAAAAACAACATCAATTTATGGTTTTCTTTTAATTATTAGCTAATTCATGTAGTAAGCAATTTGCTTCAAATGAATTAGAGCTTGCATCCATAATACCCTTCCTAATTAAACCTCCTTCCTTCTTCGTCATTTTGTATTTGCGATTTAGCACTAACGCTTGTAGTAACGTTTGAGAATCGGATCAGCAAGTTTTTGAAATATTCGCAGTGTCAATTTCTTTACTCAAATAAAAATATCGTGCAACTGCAATCTCATTATTTCTTGTATTATTGATAATGAATTTCAACGCTGCCAAGTCAGCACGGCATAAACAACATTTACTTGATTTTTCGGGTAGATACTCAAAAAATTTTCATCGCGTTGTATTGAAATAAGCATTGCAGTTTGTTTGCTTTAACTGTTGAATGCAGATTTAAAAATGCAACGGTGCAGCCATTTTGGTTTTATGCCGCTTTGAACTTTAATAATGCGTGTTCAGAAATTAAATTTGCTTATAATTAAGCAGCAGAGAAAGACATCAATAGTTAAGAGGTAAAGATTGATGATGAAAATCTGGATTGGAAAGTGAAGTTTGCACCAGATTTTTCAAAAAAAAGTTGCCACAGAATTTTCTGCAATAAATCCACTTTTGCCTATACACACCCAAACAATTCGATAATTAAGTATTGGGAATAAACTGGCCATATCTTTAACATTTTTGAAACTAACCCACTTTCCAAAAACTCAATTGGTGATTATTACTTATTGTATGGCGACAAATTAGGAGATTTATTCCATAACAACGAAATTTCTTTGGGGCCTTTAGCCAGATGTGATTTGAAAAGTTATCTAATACCATTAAAGTACCATCGTTACTGTATTTCTTGAATACCTCAAAATTTTCTTAAGAATTTTTGAGTTTCTCTATGCAAGATGAGTTTTCGAACATTTTCTTAACACCATTTGAACTTGTAATCCCATTTTTTACTTAGTATCCCCATAAAGCACTTGCTGCGACGGCTGCTCTTGATACAACCTCTCAACTATAGCAGCTTCTCAATAGGATAACCTAGATCTCTTAAATTTGACTCTACTGATAATCTCAGAGTGCCTTTTCTTTGCTTGTAAAGTCTTAACAACTTGATTTATTGTTGAAGTTTGGATAATGGTAGAGTGTGGAAATTAACAATCACGTTGATGCAGATTATTGCTTCATCCAACAATTTATCTCCAATTTTTTTAAGTATGTTTATTGTTCTCCCCTCTAGTTCTTTGTGTAACTGTGCCTGTTTGGAATAAAAATTTTCCACTCCTCTATTAGCTGCCAACTTTATTTCCTCTGTCCAGGATTTATCATCAATTGCCAAGTCTCTCTCACGCTATCGTTCTTCTTGGCTTGCCAAATCCTTTTCACCTGTCTATTTTCCTCCAACCTCACCATATCTATTTCTGCTTAATATCCTCCACCATTTGTAAACCAGACTTAATCTTAACAAGAGCTGTTCGAATCAAAATTTTTCCTCTCTATTCTATTAGCTGTCAACTTCATTGTCTCCGTTCAGGATTTATTGTCAATTGCCAAGATCCATGATTGTTCTACTTAACTTGCGGCTTTCCTCCCTAGTTTCTTCCCCCCATCTTGGCTTGGAAAATCTTTTCACTTTTCTATTGTCCTCCATTCTCACCATGTACTATATATTAGTTCTCATCACTATTCCTCATCACACCATTTCAACTTAATATTCTCAACCATTTGTAAATCGGACTACGTCTTAACTGGACCTGTTCAAATCAAAATTTTTCCACTCCTCTATTAGCTGCCAACTTTATTTCCTCTGTCCAGGGTTTTTCATCAATTGCCATGTCTCTCTCACGCTATCATTCTTCTTGGCTTACCAAATCCCTTTCACCTGTCTATTTTCCTCCATCCTTACCATATGCCCATACTATTTCAGCTTAATATCCTCCACTATTTGTAAACCCGACTTGACCTTAACTGGGCCTGTTTGAATCAAAATTTTTCCTCTCTTTTCTATTAGCTGCCAATTTCATTGCCTCCGTTCAGGAGTTATTTTCAATTTCCAAGATCCATCATCCTTCCACTTAGCTCGCAGCTTTCCTCTTTAGTTTCTTGCCGCCCATCTTGACTTGCCAAATCCTTTCCACCTATTGTACTCCATCCTCACACCATTTGAGCTTAATATTTTCAACCAATTTCTTCGTTCCTCATTCTACCGGTATTCGAGTTTTCTGCCTTTTTGTCATAACCCAGTTTTCACAGCCATGAATCAAGATAGGTATTGTTCTGTATATTACCATTTTTGTTTCTGGCGATTTTCTTATGTCTTAGAAAAGATCGTCTGAGGGATTGGAGTTCTTCATGCAGCGTGCCTTTATTGTTTATCACGAACCCCAGATATTTGTAGCTGTCAGCCCTTTTAATTTCACTCTTATTGCAGTGTTATAAAGTCCATAACTTGGACATAATTGTCCTAAGATTGTTATCTGAAGAATTTTCCTTTAATAGTTGTATTTTAATATTACTGCCCACTTTTCGAAAAAATTTTTAAATTAATTGTGCCGAAAATTAAAAATTTTGTTTATTTTATTTATTTTTATTTAATCATATAAATTCACGGTCTAATTCTCTCTTTCTCTTGTATGTTATTTCTAGTTAAAACAATGAAATTGGATTTTTTTTAACGTTAACCACTTTCTGTGTTAATTTAACGTTAGTATACAAAGGAAATTGTATCCGACCGGAAATTGACGGCGTTAATTTAACACATTTTTATCGAAACCCGTTAGATGCGGTTGGTTTACTTGTTTTCTTTTAAATATAAATCTAAACTATTTTTAACCAAATTTGAATCGTTTAAAGTTTATTACACTCAACTGTCATGCTCATTCTATTATTTTTTTTTATTTTAAATTTATCTGCCCTAAAATGACATAATAGATTCGCGACTTGAATATTAAACCGAGAAAGAGGGGAATATATAGTGAAAATAGACAGAGATAGAAGTTGGGTGGTTAAAATCCAGCCATGGGTTGATTGCCCTCTGAAACGGGGGTGGTAAAATAAAGGGTAGAAGGGGGTCGAAACACCCTCGCCTCAAATTCTCGTTCTCTCTCTCGAACCGTTTTAACAACGGATATCGTCACACTTTAGTCGATTATATCCAGTAGTTGCTTATCTGCAGACATTTTCGTTTCCTAATGGACATCATCTGACAGTACTTAATTTAATTTTTTTTAAATTAAGTTTTTTTATAAATAATTTTCTCGTTCAAAGTAATATTATTTCAGCTCTTTAATATCTTAATGTCACATCAATTCCTTATACGATAAAAACACTGAAACATATTTATATACCCCAGTAGACGTAGAATAAAATTATTAGGTTTGTTTGCGTGACGTTAAAACAAAGGGAGGGTGAAAACTTGGCGCCAGAAAGTCTACAGGGTTAAATTTGAGCTAATAAAAAGGTAGAATAGGGGGAATGGTAACAATGGGAAGGGTGGAAAATGACTTGAAATATTTTTTGAACAACGTAATAATCGAACTGTATTCAAAGAATCCCAACTTAGTTATTATTTAAATATTCAGTTAAATTTCGATATAACGGACTAATACGTGGAAGAGAGTATCCGTTATACCCAAAAGTTTCGGGTTAATACGACTTTGTCTAATTCTAGTTCAATCAAAAATATATAACAATCTAACACTGAATAACAATTAGAACTAGAACTAACACTAGCATTAGAATGAACACTAGACCTAGAAACATTATGTACTGTGTAATTTGCTTTGTTTAAAATGCGACCATGATTTATAACTACAGCTTTTAGAATTGTTTTTGTTCTTTATAAATTATGATGCTATTTCTGCCTATAAGAAAGTTTAAAAATGCTGAGAGTTAGAAACTGGAAGGCCAAGGCCCGAGATAGAAGAGAGTGGAAGCTGAGCTTAGAACAAGCCAGGGCCCACCAAGGGCTGTGGGAAATGATGATGATTTCTGCCTCTAAACAAAATCCTAGATTATCACTCAAATCGTGATTATCTCTAAACATCGCTTCTAACATTTCTCAACGTTATTCTTGGAACCACGCAATATGATAAATCAACTTTGGCACAGTTTACAGCAAGCAGTTTGATTGTTCCTTATTGGTTTAAAATTTAAAATTTCCAATCAATCTACAAACAAACATTTATAATGTGTTGTGGTCGATCCGAGATTTTATCCATTCTTCCTGTTGGTTCCTTTTGGAAAAGAAGATGAGTCTGCTAACAGGAGACTACGACAACGCACTGAAGACTGAACACTACGCATAAACATTTATAATCCGTACATAAAATTCCAAACTTGTCAAAATGTGTCACAGCTATTTTTGCATTGGCAATAACTCAATTTTGAAGTGTACAGGTTATGTTTCGTATCTCCTAAACCAGTAATATCAATCAACCGTTATCTCTACCATCTCGCATTATCAAACATGATATCTTTCAACATCATCCTTTTTCATCACCATTGTTTTTTTATTATTATTTTAGATAATCCTTTCTGAGTAAGAGCTTATTTATTTGATTTACATGTCTACGTGTATCATCCAGATTAATTGGGACATGAACCACGTTCTTTTCTTCATTCTCTTCAATAAAAATGCGTTTTGTTTAATAACAGTAACTTTATACCTCTTATTGAGAACGATTGCCTCCATAAGAATCGTGAATTTTAACATTAAAATGTCTTAGAATATGTAAACTAAGTTATTTGTATCAATAATGTTATTTAACTTAAAAAAACATAATTTGTTTCTAATAAATTTAAAGAAAATATAAAAAATTAAGTCATTTATAAAATTTAATTGTTTTGTTTGAATTTATTGCGTTCAAAAGCGATTAAAGTACCGTTTGTACAGTAATCGTTTGAGACAATTCTTATACGGATGAGTAATTGGAAAGGACTTAAAAGGAGGAGAAACAACGACCCGCGATACGACGATGATTCAGAACCGTAATAAAAAAATGCTCGGATCCAGATTACAACGGTTATTCATAGGTTTTTTTAAAGATAACACAAATTTTGTTGAACTGCTTTCTGTGTAATAACAGTTGGAAGTGAACAAAAAAACTCTTGTTGTTATCACTGCACTCGTGGCTTGAAAGATTGATTTATTTGAAAATGAGTAATGATCAATTAATGGAATAATTTTTTTTATCGGTTTCTAAAACACAATATTTATATTGTTTCATGAATTGATAACTAGATGTTTTGTAATAAAACCGTTTTTTTCTTTTTTACTCGATTCTATAATGATAATTAATTAAATAATTTCTTATTCTGTTCTTTTTTTTGTCTCACATAAATTCTTAAATCAAATTGATATCATATCCCCACACAATACTCTCAACTCACTCTTATGTTTACTTTATTACTTTTGGAAATCTCAGTTTCCGGTCACGGAATTCCTAGAGATATATCTAGAGGGGATTTTTTTTGATGAAAAAATCCACTCCAAAACGTAATGGAGAAGAGCAAATAATCGGCTTTGTACGAGTGATACGAGTCGAGCGTGGAATGAAAATACTAAGATTCTATTGTCTATGTTCACTTTTTCTATTTTTTCATTTTTTTTTTCTTTTTTTATTAGTGGTCTGAATTTCCAAGACTTAATGGTGCGACAGGGTGCGGTCGATTCCCCTCCGAAATGCCCCTTCATTCTCGGTTTTGAATGCGCCGGAGAAATCGAGCAAATCGGCGAAGGAGTTGAAGGATTTTCAGTAAGGAAATAAATTCTTAAAAAAAGAAATGGATTAATTATTTTTCGATTGTGTTTGTTTAGATTGGCGACAAAGTTGTTGCGCTTCCCGAGTATAGAGCCTGGGCGGAATTGGTTGCCGTCCCAGCAAAATATATTTATAAATTACCGGAAGAATTGGGTCCGTTGGACGCAGCCGCTATTACCATGAACTACACCGTGGCCTACATCCTTCTTTTTGAACTCGCCGGACTTTCCAAGGGCAAAAGATTACTTGTTCATTCAGTAGGAGGTGGAGTGGTAAGTTTTTTTTTTTAATTTACCAACAAAACACTAAATTTATAATAAATACAGTAAAATCTCGATATAACGGACTAATACGGGAATGAGAGAGTATCCGTTATATAAAAAATTTTTAATTTGCACTTTTAAAATGAATTTTTAAAATCGAGGGATAGCTAAACTCGAATCTTTATAAATCTACGTCTACTGTTAGTTCTAGTTTTAGTTCAATGAAAAATATACAAGAATCTAACACTGAATAACAACTAAAGCTGAACTAATACTAGACCTAGAACTAGAAACATTCGGATTTAGCCGCACGTCTCTCAAGACGGCTAAACCCGAATGGTTCTAGTTCTAGGTCTTGTGTTAGTTCTAGAGATAGTGACAGTGCTAGTAGAAAACTAGAACTAACATTAGACCTAGAACTAGAAACATCCGGATTTAGCCACACGTCTCTCAAGACGGCTAAACCCGAAAGATTCTACTTCTAGGTCTTGTGTTAGTTCCAGTGATAGTGCTAGTGTAAAACTAGAACTAACACTAAACCTAGAACTAGAAACATTCGGGTTTAGCCGCACGTCTTTCAAGACGGCAAAACCCGATACTTTCTAGTTCTACGTCTTGTGTTAGTTCCAGTGATAGTGCTAGTGTAAAACTAGAAATAACACTAGACCTAGTACTAGACACATTCGGGTTTAGCCGCACGTCTTTCAAGACGGCTGAACCCGATACTTTCTAGTTCTAGGTCTAGTGTTAGTTCTAGTTTCAGTGCAATAAAAATGTGCAACATAGTGATTTCTTATGCTAACTAGTGCTACCACCACTGTCACTACAACTTTCACTAGACCTAGAACTAGAATCATTCGGGTTTAGCCGTCTTGAGAGACGTCTGGCTAAATCCGAATGTTTCTAGTTCTAGGTCGAATGTTAGTTCTAGTTTTAATTGCAATTCAACGTTAGATAGTTGAATATTTTTATCAAACTAAAAGATGAACTAACATTAAACCTAGAACTAGAAACATTCGGGTTTAGCCGTGCGTCTCTTAAGACGGCTAAACCCGAATGTTTCTAGTTCTAGTGTTAATTCTATTTTTCGTTCAATAAAAATATACAGCAATCTAAAACTCAATAACAATTAAAACTAGAACTATCGTTCTTGATTTATACATCATATAGATAACTCGGGGATTACCCCTAGTTGTATTCTATGATAATAAAATAATACTAATAGTACTATTTTGTGGAAAATATTTTTACTTTTAAATATTAAACAAAAAATCATTTTTTTTTTTTTACTTGTTTCAATAATGATACATAAGTATCATTTATTAACAAAGAACAAATCACTTTTAAGACTTGAGACACACCGGAAGTCGCGTTTAATGATCGTTGAAAAGAATCCCTAGGGAGAGTCCTTCAGTCAAAGCACCTTTTTTTCTGTTTTGCTTTGTTGTTTTCTATAACAAAAGAAAGGCTACACGCTCGAATTAAGTGGGTTCACGTTCTTTTTTCCCATTCTTTTTTTGGTTCTTTTTTTATCGAAAATCAATGGGGTAGATAAGTTGTGAACGCACCAAACGTTGCGTAAAAGAAGATTTAGGGGGAAAAATGAAAACTCTCAATGTCGCAGTATTTTTTTATATTTCCATGAATTTTCGTGCGTCATTTTAATCAAATTATTATTATGTTTGTAGGGAAAAAGATCTAAGTTTATAAAGTTTTTAATGTGACACAAAAATATTTACTTGCTAAAGAAAGAAAAAATGAGATTTGATTTGAATCGTTTTGGTTATATCTCGGTAAAACAAAACGAAGGAGCAGAGGGGGTTGATAACCTGCTTGACATCCGGTCGTTCAGTTGTATGAACGTCGGCGTAGTTGACGATATTTTTATCTTTTAAAAGACTGTTTGTATGTATTGCGAAATACGCGATGTCGTTTAATCGTTAACAGCGAGACGCCGACTACGTTTGTTTTTCCAATGCGCTATTTTATCGTTTCCTAGAACAAGCGGCAATTTTCTAATGATAATAATAAAGTAATTATTATTACACCACCATCTAAGTGGTTCTAAAGAAAATGAATATAATTATTTTTATTCCAATTTATTTTTGTTATCTTATTTTTTTGTTTCGGAGAGAGATTACAAAGAAAAAAGGAGTTTTCTTTAAACAATTTTATAAATGTATTTAATAAACCAACTCGACTAAAAGAATGCTCTCAATTTCGCTACACATTCACCATTTACAGAGCATAAATACTTTCTTTGACAAGCAGACGACAGATTACAGTAATACGACTTACATCCTCTTCGTCTTCCCTTTTCCTTCGTCGTAGGAGATGAAGATGAAGCTTGGACCGTCGCGTCGTAGTTGACATTGTCCTTCTCACACCATTCCTCTCTCCTCATTCCTAAATGAAGACTTCCGGAGGAGCATACTTGATTTATTCGTTTCGCCGACGACGTTTCTTTAATTGAAAATGGCCCGCAGCCGGCAAGGCACTCGTCGGCGGCGTAGTAACTCCTCTCAAGAATTTCCTGATGATGACCGACGCGATAGAGATGACTTCAAATCCCAATGTCGTCTCTTTCCTCTCTTTATTTAATGACGGTCTTTCACAGACAAGAAACCTCATTGTGAACTTATCCGACGTGGTACTTAAAAATTTAATTTCGAGAATTCGTCTTCGTAAAAATTAAAAGAAGGAAAGAGATGGAGGACATTGACGTCTTTAAAAGAACAATTTAAAAGGATATCTGAAAATATTTAATTTTTATAATTCATTTAATAATAATTATTTTATAGTATTTAATAAATAATTAAGCTGTGATTATTGTGAAAGTTCGACAAGGTTATAAACATTTACAAGACTATTTGCTTTCATAAGTGTGAAAATTGCAACTTTTCGCGGATATTAAAAAGTTCTTATAAAATATGTAGCAGGCGTTATAAACTTTATCCTCATAAAATGCAGAGGGGAAGTGAAAATAATTACTTAGTTGATGTATTAAGTATTAAGCCATTTCTGTGGTCTCTCCAATAGGCTCAACGCATGCTGTTTCCTATACTTATGATATATATTTAATAGCAGTCCTAATTCTTGGATAGCTGTTAGAGAGATCTTTCTATTTGCCTGTTTCATGTTTCAGGTTTTCAGTGTTCATATTTATATCGTCTATGCTCGTGATGAAAGGTGAAATGATTCACCTAATAGTTGAGGTTCTTATATTTAAAAATTCCAAAGTCTTGTAGTTTTTAAAATACTAGATTTTCTTCAATTCGTGATAGATAATGGAGACATCGTGTCTAATATTAGTCCAATTGAAAGTTTATAGCCGTTTTTGAAAATGCCTATGAACTGGTTTGTTAGCATGGCCAAATTTGTCTATAAGAATTACCTTCCCGACCACATCTTGTTTAGTTGAGGGCTTATCTTCCTTTTGTGATGTTGTTTATATGTCTCTATGGTATCCACATTTATATCCTGAAAGTCCATTTATGTTTTTGATAAGAAAATTTTGGTTGGATCATTCTTCTTTACATTCTATACAAAAGTATGCTTTATCCTCACAAGTTGAACATTCATCATAAATTATTTCAGATTCATTCTTTTCATCGTTTGAAGATTTATAAATTTCCTGTGATTTTTCTTTTCCATACGGTTTTCAGTTTTTAACTTGGAATGTTACAACTTAAATTAGCCTTTTATAGCATTTTATTTGTATTTTTCTATTTTGATCTGTTTTTTCTCTAAAGCACTTTGAAATACTTTAAAAGATCCTATATCCAAGACCTCCAAAAGTTGGGTTTTCTGACATTATGCTCAGAATACAAAAATCCCATTTTTTTTTAAATTGTTTATTCCCAAAAAGACATAAGAGTCCATAACAGGTATATAAACACTAAAATATAACAACAACGCAAGAAGAAGCCACATACATACATACATATACAGCAAAAAAAACATTTCGAAATCAGTTTAACCTAAGATTAAGGTAATAACTCCTGGCAAAGGAGTCCAGACCATTCTGATTCTTCACCCGTTGTGGTAAATCATTAAACTACTTTGCCGCTGCTGGTGTAACACTTCTTCTCTAAATGTTTCTTGCAAGGGGCAAGATGTGAATATTTTGGTTAGTTCTTGTATTATACGCATGCATATCGCAGTTGAGGTTAAAGTGCCAGTTTCCATTAGATTATTTTTGATTTAATATATTAGCTTAATCATACACACTATCAAGCTTAATCATTTCATGTACATTAAGCACTTTTAACTCATTATACAATGATGTAGTATTTGTGCTATGTGGTGTACAAAAGAAAATCTTTAGAAACTTATTTTGTGTTACTAGCTTGTCAAGGTCTTTTTTATTTATCTTATCTTCCTGCAATTATATGCAGGATTTGATGCCCTATATGCATCAAAACATGCATATAAGGCAAGATCACTATGTATACAACAATTGGTTATATCATTTATATATATTAAAGAAGCAGAGGACCGAGGACAGATCCCTGGGGTACTCCATACTTTATATGAGTCCTGCTGCTAGTAGCATTATTGTAAACAGTGTACAGCTTTCTATTTCTTAAATAATTTTTAAAAGCTCTCAGTGATGGTTTCTGAACTCGCAAAGCTTCGAGCTTACTAAGCAGTATAGCATGGTCAACCACATCAAGCGCCTTACACAAGTCCAGGAAAACAGCCAAAACAGTTTTATTCTCATTGAGATTTCTATAAACAAATTCCAACAATGATATAATAACAGTCTGTGTGCTCTTATCGCCTATGAAACCATGTTGCTCACAAGTTTGGAAACCAATCGTATTCAAATGGGACAGTAGTCTACTTTTTAAAATTGATTCAAATATTTTGGCAAAGACCGACAGCATAGATATTGGTCTATAGTTCTCCGGAAGAGTTTTCGAGCTTTTTTTATGCACTGGAGTTATTCTTCCTATCTTTAGGATATCGGGAAATTGACCAAGTTTTATTTCTCTATTGATAATACTTGATAGAACAGGTGACAAAACTCCTTTCAGTACTTTCACCGCTTTTGGTTTTATACCGTCATCGCCTGGTGCTGCATTGATTTTTATATTATCAATTTAATGTACATTGTAATAACTTAATGTACATTGAGGAATCTATCCCATAATAGACATATAGACATTATAGACATTGGCGGCCTGTGTACACTGAAGGTGAAGTGATCATTCAGAACATTAGACTGCTTACATCTTAGGAATCCGTTTATTTTCTATACCAATCGACAGGGCATTCTTAATAATACATCACTGCTTTCTCGGGCATCCATCAGTATTCTGAAATTTTTTTATCTATTTGTTCCTTCTAATAAGGTTTTTGCCTTCTTTCCGTAATTTGACAAAATGACACCAATATAATTCACTTCCAGGAAAACGCTTCGTCCTAATATACGCTTTATCTCTTTCTTTTATTTTATTCTTGACTGCTATAGTGAACCATCCCTCACTTATATTTGATGTTGTACGTCTTACAGACGTATTCGTGACTTTACCAATTTCCGCTTGAAGAACGCCATTCAACCATTTTGCTTTAAGGCATCGTAGTTTACTATTTTTGATTTTTATTATACATGAATCATATTTTCAAAAATATGATATGACTATCGTATTTTCATAATATGCATATAGAAGCATTTCAACGATTCTGCAATGTGATTAATGTGTATCATAGAGCAGCAATATTTAATTCATTTATCTATTTTTACGCCCTTCTCTTTTGTAGTCTATTGATATAATTGAATATATCTGCTGAATATGCAATAAGTGAGAAGATATTTTGAAAAGATTTGTGACTACTTCTCATACTCTTATTATATAGATTCAAGAGATAAAGTTGCTGCTGCTCGAATAAATACAAGGTGCAAAATAAGTTGAAACGTCTCATTAATGTAACAAAATCCCAAATTAGGAATATTTTTTATTTATATCAATATTTCATAATTTTAAGAAAATGCTATGTAAAGTCATTCCTAAACAGATTGGCTTAATGAGAATTTGTTATCGATGAGAAATAATATGACTCAGTAAGTTATATCGCTCCCCAATTTTCGTCATTCCTCCAAGTTTTCAGTTGATACTTCATAAATAATAGAATCTTGCTTTTCTAAGATTTTGCATTACTTTCCTACCATGAAACTAGTCGGTCATTTTCAACATTTGCTGTAGTCTTGTTTGAATGAATAAATTTACTTTACTTTACATCGAGAAGAGTTTAGATGGAAACCGGCATTTTCCTCGGCAATTTGTTCCGGTTTTAATTAGTCAACCTTCTTTTTAATCGTAGCAGCCAACCTTCCTAGGAGTTACGGTGCATTTATAATTCGATGTTCCTACAAATGGTTATTTCCTATTCATATTCCCTCATTATCTCTTTTTATGCAAGCAGCAATCGTTAAGTATCTGGTTGTTGCATTTTCTGAAATTACAGTAAGCTTTAAATAAAATAATTTCTATAAAAGCTTACGATTTCAGTACAACAAACAGAATTCGTCAGCAACTTGAAAAATTCTACTTCAAAATTCGTATAGTTTTGTATAATGAGTCACTTATCTACGTTGCGATTAAGCATGAAGGCTTTTTATTTCTTTTACTTCTAGCTGTTGTCTTCGCATTCTCAATTTTATTCCTTATTATCCGTGTACTATTAATTTCTGTTTATTTCGATCCATAGAAATTACATGGACGCTTTCTTTTATTTCATACTCAGTATATCCATCCTACAACTTTTTCCACATCCTGCCTTCTCCAACGTTAGCATCACTGTATTTTCCCCATTGATGTTTTCTCAATGGCAACTCCTAAGAACAAACTTAATCAGTTACCACTTGGGTCATATGAAAAGTAATGTATTGCCATATCCTAGTTATGAATGGTTCTATATTAGGGATTATTAGACTATTCTGCTCTTCAGTTCTCAAAGTGTAGATGGGACACACGCGAGCTAGGTGTTCCTTTGTCAATACTTTCCTCAGGTTTCATAGGCAGAATTCTAACTTTATTCCCATCAATACAACTTCCAGCGCTTTATTACATGCCCCATACTAAAGCTTCCCCCCGAGTAGCGACTACCTCCTCGGTTTATTCAACCAAACAGCTTTCTCAACGTATTATAGATTGAAATCGGCCTATACAACGCATTGTCTGTTTTGTTCTTTTTAAGTTTTTCAAGCAGTGTCTACCTCGCATTCCCCATTTTGTTGGAAAGTTGCCTTTTTAAACATCCATTATACACTAGTATTACAAAACCATTCTTTTTTCCATCAACTATTGTTATCACGAAAGCTCACGTTATATCGACCACGAGTTAGTTGGAATAAGCTTCTTTTCTTCTTATGAAACTGACAAATCGGTTTGTTTTCCTACATTGTTAACTCTTTTCTAAAGCTGTAGCACAATATGCGAAGTTCTGCCAACCTTTCGTTCATATCTTAATTATAGCTTCTTTATATCATCCGATGTTCATCGTCTTCATTATAAGTAATAATTACGTTATTCATGTTCCCGTTGTAAATACATGGAGCAATATGAATTGTAATTATACAAGTTTCGGCTTTTAACCATTATCAGAGATTAATAGAAAATTAATAAAACTTCTCAACAAGTTCAATTTCTTGTCCTTGATATATAAACTCAATTAGGAATCCAAATAAAAAATATGTTCTATTTTCCTTAATTTACTTTAAACCCAATTTTTCTTAATTTAAAGGTAATCTCCTGTCGATAAATCCAATAAAATGGGGATTTAAAACCGCGCCCTATCGTCGTCGTCGTCGGTGACGGTAAAAAAGGGTGTCGCCCTCGCTTCGCCACGCGGGGTCTCAACAAATTTACTGCTGTCCGTTCGGAATTCCGAGTTGCCCCCGTGGTGTCGAGCAGGACGTCGATCGGGGATGGGATAGTGCCGGCAACCGACACGGGGGAGGGTGTAAAAGGGAAGTGTGGGGTCTGGAAAGCAGATCAATATTCTCGTCTACGTCGTGCGCGCCCCCCGGCACACACAGAGGGGGTTGGTCGCAAAAACGCATCTGCGACGATCGGCGTCCCGCATCGTTTCTTGACCCCAACTTGTCTTCCTCATATTGAATTTTCGTTTTCCAAAATGTGTTCAATATTTTTAAATAAAATTTATAATAAATCAAATTGAATTTATTTAGAATTTAGTATTAAATTTTAATTTATATTTAATTTACTAATTAATAATAATATAATATAATAATATATTTATGTAACATTTCAAAATATACCATTTTCTTCTTCTCCACATAATAATTGAAAGTGAATATAGTACGTTGACTTTATCGTAGACGCCGCCCGAAGGTGAAAGTTTTTGGCCCTTTGCCAAAAGCTCTCACTACTCTCTCCGTTTTTGGGGGCTTTGGCCGTTACATCGTCCGTGTAAAAGTTCAAATGTTGTTGATCTCGATCTTTTTCTCGCCAATCTCTAAAAGCTTGAAATTTTATTCTTCTTTTTCAGCTATTCTTTATTTAGTTATATGGACTTTTTTTTTTTTATTATGTCCCATAAAAGATTTTTTAATAACGTTACGTGATGATTTTATGATTCATAGCACGTTCTCTTTTCGTTTTTTTGATAGAATAGTTTTAATAGAATTATTTTTTTTTAGGGTCAAGCTATTGTTCAACTTGCAAAAACCGTTCCCGATGTAACAGTTTTTGGGGTTTGCTCCAAATCAAAACATGAAGCGTTGAAAGCGAACAACAGCCCGATCGATCATTTACTCGAACGCGGTAGCGATTATTCGAGCGAAATTCGCAAGATCCAACCTGACGGGGTCGACATCGTTTTGGATTGTTTGTGCGGCGATGAATGCAACAAGGGATTTTCGTTGTTGAAGCCGATGGGAAAATACATTTTGTATGGATCGTCGAATATCGTAACTGGCGAAACTAAAAGTTTCTTTAGCGCTGCGCGTTCGGTAAAATTACAGGTTTGAAATAATCGGTTTTATTTAAATTGATTTTGTTGTAGTGGTGGCAAGTTGACAAAGTTTCTCCAATTAAACTTTTCGAAGAAAACAAAACTTTGTCCGGTTTTAATCTTCGCAGGTTGATGTATCAACAAGATGGAAGTGAATTTGTTAGGAAAGCAGTTGAAAGTGTTTTTGATTTATATAAGGATGGAAAAATTAAACCGATTTTGGATTCAACTTGGGCTCTTGAGGATGTAAGTTTTATATTATTTCTTGTGTCAAGGTGATATTTTAGTATTATTTTTTTTGTACCTCCTATACACTTATCTTAATGAGGCACAAGCTTCTGTATACCTTCTTTGCAAATTTTTAAAAAACCCAAATAAAAATCAGAAGGGGCTGGACTATGAGGCGGATGGGTAAGAACTTCCCAATTTTGTTTCTGAAACCAGGCCTTCGTCTAATTTGGGGTGTGCTATTTTGCATTGTTGTGCAACATCTGATTTTTTTCAGCAACCTTCCTCTTTGTTTCTGTCGAATAGCTTTTGGTGTAGTTTTTTGAAACTTTGGCAATAAACATGTATACAGTAAATGTGCGCATCTAAAATGCAAGTTTCAACCTGATTAGGCGGTGTGCCGCGCAAACGTACCTTTGCTATTCGAAAATAAAAAAAAATATATCATAATATTTTTTGCCTAAAAATGCTAACTTATGGCAAATATGGCATACATTGTGACATAAACATTGAAATAGATACCTTATAAAGATTTCGAACAAAATGTTTGTTTAGAAAAATTATGCATACAAACATATAACACAAAATAAAAACAAGAAAGAAAACATTACACTATATAAAAACAGTTTCTGTCCTTTTTAAAGATTGACTTTACATTTTTCACAAAAAATATAGCATTTTCGTGTTTTTTTCAAATGAAGTTGCTGTCTTTGGTTTACTAGGTCTTCCACAAATTCGAGATGTTGGAATAATGTTTGATGTTGTAAGAACATATCTTGAATTTGCAACAGGACAAATACATACTGGAAATACTGCAATGATTGCAACTTTCTCAATAAATGCAGCTCTTTCTCGCTTTTTCATTTCTGACTCCTTAGGTTGTTGGTAATTAGGAATTCGATTCATTTAAATTGTTGCGAGGGTAGTTTTCCTTCTTTTGATAGATATACAGGGTGTATCTAAATTGATGCGAAAAATTTTAAGGGGTGATTTTTCATATAACTTCAAAAAGTGGTCAAAGTGGTCAAAACCACTTCTCCTCCAAGTTACAGCCCTCTAAAATTATGGAAAAAAATTGTTTTTCTTTAATAAATCCACTATGAAGGAATTTGGAAGGATAAAATTTGGCAGATAACTGTTGCTAATAAAATGACACTTTTTGACGATTTCTATAGCCAGAAAATGTTATTACAGGGGGTGAAAAAATCAATCCCTATAATACTTTGCATCAGAACTTTTTAATGTGTCTAGGTTTTTCTCATTCAAAGCTTATTATTAGTCAAAGAATGAAGTTATGTCAAATTGAACTCAGCATTATTTTATTTTTTGTGATCAAACTAACAATTTGTTGGTTGTAAAATGTCAAGAGATAAGAAAGTTGCAGATTCTTTCCCTTAACTTTAGAAGGCTATAACTTGGAGGAGAAGAGGTTTTGAACAAAAAGTTATATGAAAGACCCCCCTTAATTTTCGTTGAAAAATCACCCCTTAAAATCTTTCGCATCAATTTAGACACATCCTGTATAAGCACAGGTATTCCAGGAAACCGATTATCAAAAGATACTTTATAATTTCGGTTTCTGGGTATTGTGTCAGCCAATTTGACAAGTACGATGCTACTAGCTCCAAAATCAGGTAAGTGCGCTAGACGTTCATCAAAATCGTAGGTGTGAATATATTCTGATATTTTTATGGCACCTGTTGTAAAGTTCTAAGGCGTTATTCGAGATAATTATACTTGGAAGGAAACTGTATTCTAGTCAGGTCAGTTTGGAAATAGGTAAGACACAATGATCTAAATGAAATGAATGTATATTATTATTTGTGAACACTATGAAGAAAAAATACAGAATCTCATTCATTACGATTATATATTGACGTTTACTAAAAATGAGGTTAAGATCTTGTGCATTTACGCAAAAGATAACTGTTAAAAGAAGAATTTAAAAGAAACTTGCCAACCCAGGAAGACAATTACTAAGTTATCTAGAAGGAACGTAAAAGTAGTCTATTAACGCAACATTATCACCTAAAAGTTTCGTGAAACCAGCTATAACAATAGCCAAAAAGAAAATTTCTGGAAAGAATACATTCTTGGATGGAATAATAAATGTGTAGAGCTATATCAAGCCTACATGGACTCTGGATACTCAACAATAGCTAATAAGTTACTTCAAAACTCTGGCAAACAACGCCGTTTCACCTAATCACAGGATTTTAAAAATTGAAGCAGAGAAGCTTGAAATCTTTTGAGGGAGCTGGGCGAGAGTAACTTTGTTAAACGTAAAGCTTAATACTGGTGACTGAAAATCAGATGGAAAGTGGAATAATAACACTATCCAGCGCTCTTCGCGACCCACAACATATAAAGGAAGGAGCTGGCAAGATACAAGCTTCCAGTTTTCAAAAGCTGATGATTTTGATGGAATGAATCCTGATTTTTTTTTGTTCATCTTGGATGGAGATGCTTTAAGTGGTTAGTTAATACATCTTGCACGGGCATTTTGCCGCCAAAATTTTACCGTGTTGCTATATTCCATCAATAATCCGTGAAAAAGGATTTTAGTCGCTTCCCGCTCAAGATGTGAAATTCGCGCAAAACAACTTTGGTCGCTTATCGCGCAGGATGTGTTAAGTTCTATACTCATATACTACGTACAGGTCGCCTATCAAGGGCTTTCAAGAGATTCAAAATAATAGTCATCTAAAAACGGAATAAACCGGAGCAATCCAAAAGTTATTGTCCTATCGCATTATTGAGTTGCTACTATAAGTTTTTCGAAAAGCTTACTCAAATAATGTTGGTTCCAAAGTCTTGGAAGGTATACCCATTGAACAAGCTGGTTTCATAACACAAGGAAGCGTTACCCACCAGGTGCTTAGCTTTACTATAGATACAAAGCAGGCTTTCAAAGATGCCTCAAAACATCCGTAATCTTTGTAGGCTTGATAATGCTGCATATGATACAATGATATAAGCTCATACGAATCGTGCCATGTCAGACTATTATAAAATCTGAATAAAGGACTGCCGCTGGGCTCATTTCTTGTGCTTTTTAACCTATACACATCGGATCTATCAACCACAAGGGCAAGAAAATTTGTCTATGTCGATATCTCGCCACTCAACATAAAATAACCAGTGAAGACACCCTCTCTAATGACCTGAGAGCTACAGGGTAGCGGGGGTGAACTTGAGGCATTACAATTATAACACTACAATTTTCTGTAACATATTTGCAGGCTTGTTAATTTCTGGCACTGAGCACACTACCTGCGAAAACTCGCGGGATTAACATTTTGGGACAGTCACAAACAATATGACGTACCGTCTCGTTTTCCATTTCACACCCTCTACAGAGGGGTGTATTCGGCAGTTTCATGTAAAACATGTGCTTACGTAACCTGCAGTGTCCGGTCAAGAAGTGGGTGAGAAGCCTCAAGTCATATTTTGATTTTCCCAGAAACTGAATAGATCTGAGGTGGAGCAGAGTTTTCTTAGCAAAGACACCTGCTGCTGTCTCATCCCATCTGTTGCAAAAAGCTCGATGGGAGATGGAGTTTATCAGTTTTGATGCTGTATTAACAGCTAGTGGTACAAACACCATTTCGACAGGACTTCACCAACCGCCAGCATAGCCTGTCTGCTAACAGTATTACAACGTTTCTGCCGACTTTTTTGGAGTCGATGATCGTATCGGCTGCTATGTTTATAGCAGTTAATTCGGCTTGACCAGTCGTGCAATACGATCTTAACGAAGTGGAAAGGTGCAGCTGGAGATCGTGCGAGAAAATTCCTGCTCCGGAACCTCCAGCCTTCTTTGATCCATCAGTGTAGATGGTCAGCGTTTTGCCCGAGCATGAGTTGCTCTGGGGTATCGTTTCAATACCAAAGTGTGNTTTTCTGTAACATATTTGCAGACTTGTTAATTTCTGGCACTGAGCACACTACCTGCGAAAACTCGCGGGATTAACATTTTCGAAAACTTCGATGGACTAAATAATTAATATTTTTTAAAACAGTCATGTGAAAATAAAATATTTGTTGAATATATAACTGTTCTGGATTCTTTAATAGAAAAATATACTGAAAGCTTAGGATCGACAGGGATCCCAGTAAGCTATACAATCCACCCACTGAGTATCCCAGGTGGTGTTCAATTAAGATCAATTAATGTTTTATTACTCAATCAGGTCATGATTGTGTTTCCACAATTTCCTCCATTATTACTGTCTAATTTAAAAATGACCCTTAATAATAAAACGATTCTCTACCTCTGCTATAGGGGAATACTTTTATAAGTGGAGATTAACACCTAACCTCAAAAACAGAAGCCAACGCCTTCCACCTGAATAATAAAATATGTAGCATCCAGGGGATTCCAGATCAGTTTTAATAACATAACGCTGTAGTACCAAGATTTCCTCAAATACTTCCGCAAAGGGAACATTTTCGTTTAACAAACAGCACACATTGACACTCTGGGGATTTGTATGGGGTGTCGCAGCAACTACACTGCGATGTTCTGCCCTGTCACTGGTTGATTCTGCTGTAGAATATTACGCACCGGTATGGACATGGTCAGAAAATCGGCACATAACTGAACTCGGCCATAAGATGAATATCAGGATGTCTTAAATCCATTCCTCTTTTTTGGCTCCCAACGCTAAGCAACATCGCCCCGCCAAACGCGCGAAGAAAGAATACTCTCCTAAAAGAGTTCACCAAAATAATTGACAACCCACTGCTTCGATTCGTGATGACCTACCTTATTTTTGAAATTGCCTCAGATCCCGACACCCTCCATTAAAGCTTGGTGAGGAACTGACTAGAAACAAGTACAACATCAACTCTGACTGGGAAAAAGGCAAAAACGCCAAAGTACCACCAAAAATTAACCAACAGATCCTCCCCAATCAAGAACTAAAAGGACTTCCTAGCCACCTATGGAAGGGCTTCAACAGAGTATGTACGAGACATGGAGTCTGTACTGATGGCCTTCATAAATGGGGAGAGCTGCCATTGTCTTAGTGTGACTTGTGGAGCTCCAAAACAATCTATCTGGCACAATGTGGGGGAGTTCTTTGATGCTAAACCCGCAGCTTTTGGCTAAGCTCTTGTTAGCCGCCCGTAATTAATTCCGATGTGTCCTTTTCGGCACTTTATCGTTACGTTGTTGTATACGTTTGCCTCCTCGAGTGATTGCCGACAGGACTTCACCAACAATGATACAGTGTGGTGTCTACCAACCGCCAGTATAGCCAGTCTGCTACTAGTGCAGATTACAACGTTTCTGCCGACTTTTTTGGAGTCGAATGGAAAGGTGCAGCTGGAGATCGTGCGAGAAAATTCCTGCTCCGGAACCTCCAGCCTTCTTTGATCCATCAGTGTAGATGGTCAGCGTTTTGCCCGAGCTTGAGTTGCTCTGGGGTATCGTTTCAATACCAAAGTGTGGCTTGCCTAAGAAAGTAGGTGTAATGTAGTATGTGCGAGCTTTAAGGAGGGGTTGTTTACTAACAGCCTCACTCCACAGCTTGCTCCGGACTATTCCCATTTTAACAACCTGCTTTTCATTTACTGATCGCAACCGAAGCAATGCCATCACGGCCACCTCCCTGATAAAAATATCTAGGGGCAGCACGTTTAACATAGTCTCCATTGCAATCGTAGGTGTAGATCTCATAGCGCCTGTGATTAGCAGGCAGGCCAGTCGTTGCAATTGATGCAGCAATGTAGCTTTATATGCATGTTTTAGTGCTGAGCACCAGACTATGGCTCCGTGAGCTACCATGGGTCTTATCACAGAAGTGTAGATCCACATTGTAACTTTCGGATTTAATCCCCAAGTATTCCCAATAGCCCTTCGGCACTGGGTCAGTACAATCGTTGCTTTTTTGATTTTGCAACTAATGTGTGATGTCCAAGTTAGTCCTTTGTCCAAGATAACACCCAGATATTTCACCTCTGGAGCAAAGGTTAATGGATTATTGCAGAAATTGGGTGGCGTTAAGTGTCCCAGTTTCTTCTGTTTAGTGAAGAGAACAGTCTCTGTCTTTTTAGGATTGACAGAGAGGGTATGTTCTTCACACCATCGTTCAACGAGTTTAAGTGCCTGCTGCATTCTGTAACAAAGAAAATTGTCAGGTTTACCTCTTAACAAGATAGCCACGTCGTCTGCGTAACCAACTGTGAAGAGATATTTATTATTTAACTCACGAATGAGATCATCAACTATTAAGCACCAGAGAAGCGGTGAGAGTACCCCACCTTGTGGGCAACCCTTAACCACAGCTCTCTGTACTGTGTGTCCTTTCGCCTTAGTCTGAACAACTCTGCTTGCTAGCATTGTTTTAATCCAGCCCGCGATGACCGATGGCACTCTTCGAGATTCCAGTGCCAGGTTAATGCTACTAAAGGTGGTTTTGTCAAACGCTCCCTCTATGTCAAGGAAAGTTCCCAGAATGGACTCTTTCGAATCAAATGCTTGTTCGATGCGCCCCACTACCATGTGTAGGGCGCTATCCACAGATTTACCTTTGATATATGCATGTTGGTTGAAATGCAAAGGAAACGCTTTAAGTACATTCTCTCTAATGTAATGTTCACATAGTCTTTCAAGCGTCTTTAAAAGAAATGATGAGAGACTAATTGGTCGAAAGGCTTTAGGATCCGTTGGGTCCTTTTTTCCATTCTTTGGTATAAAGGTTACTGTAACCTTCCTCCAGCTGATGGGAACGTAGTTAAAGGCTAAGCAGGCCTTAAAAACTCTCATCAAGTGTATTTTCATATCCTCTAGACTCCATTGAAGAAGAGCAGGAAATATACCGTCGGGTCCGGGTGTTTTGAAGGGCTCAAAACTGCCGACGGCCCACTCTACCAACTCATTCCTTACAACCTGGTTAGCTATCTGCCAGTCCTGGCTGCTAGGAGAGTTGTTAAATTCCACTTGGTGTAGAAGCGTTGAAAAATGTTGCAAAGAACTTGGAAAATGAACATCCATTAGTAAATACAACGATTCTTCTGGATCTTTGGCAAAACTGCTATCAGACTTTTTTAGAATATCAGAACTGTGTTTTTGGCCGCGAGATAGTATTTTGTTTAGGCGTGAGCGCTCTCCACCTCTTTGCAAAAACCTCTCCAGGCTTGTCATTTCTTTTTTCGTACTAAACGTTTGAACTGTTTTGAACAAGGTCCAGTCAGAATTCAGTCTAGTTTGTTTTGCTTTATTGAAAGCTTTTCTGCAAGTGACTCTCAATGAATGTAGATCAGGAGTCTATCAGGGTGTAGCTCTTCCTCTCTCCTGCACTGTGGAAGGCCTGAGTTAGCGTGTCACCCACGAGGTTTGAGTAATTTTCCAATTCATCGGTATTTCCAGGAAGGGCATCTGGAAAATTTCGCAATTGCTCATTTAGACAACTTGCAAAAATGCTCAAGTCAGTCCGCTTTGGATCCCGGACCCTCTTTTTCAAGAGTATCATTGGTCCTAAATCAAAAGTGATCCATCTATGGTCAGACATAAACGCCTTCTGGCAGATACATGAGTTGCTAATCTTTTGAGATACGTTAGCCGATGCGAAGGTCAAATCAATAATCGTCTGACACTTTAGCATTGACGAACATGGGTTCACAGCCTTGGTTGATTATTTCCAAGTCATTACTCGTAATAAATTCAAGCAAGGTCTTACCTCTAAAGTTTCTTTCGTCACATCCCCAGGCAACAGAATGAATCGCAGCCTACAATGAGTAGCCATTTTGTGCGGTTTATAAGATAAATTGATCTTTTGTGAGTTGCATTCAAGATCTTATCTTAAAGATCAGCCTATGGCATGAGGGACCTAATCTTTAGTGCTATGTTAAATCGGTTGGGAGAAGGGACGGCTTATCGCGATGCCCAATAATGGGGAAACTCCAAAGCTAGTATGAAGTAACAAAATAAATAAAACTGAAATTTTTCTTAGGTTGCTGAAGCTATGCAAAAAATGCATGATCGCAAAAACATTGGTAAATTAATTTTGGATCCAAGTATGGAACCAAAACCAAAACCAGCAACTCCTGCTAAAGGTAAAAATAAGGAAGATAAAAAGAAACAATCCTCTGAAGAAAAGAAAGAAAGCGAAGAAAAGAAAGAAGTTGAAGCTAAAGTTGAAGAGAAAAAAGAAGAAAAGAAAGAAGAAATTCCCGTTGCAGCAACTAATGGAGATTCAGCCACCAATGGTGAATCAGGTAATAAAAAATAAATTTCTTAATTAGAATTTATAAAGAAAAATGTTTTTGTAAATTAGATTCCAAGGGAAAGGAAAACTCGAGTTGAATTGATTAAAACTTTGAATAAATATTTAAAAAGAAAACGCAACCATACGAATTGAGAAGTCTTATAATTCATTTTTAATTTTAAATTGTTTACTTTTTTTTGTAGTAATTGTCGCGTTTCTTTGTAAAAATTCCAATTAGTTTTCCCTAATAGAATTTTTGAATGTAATTATTGAAAAAAAATGGTAGTTAAGTTAAAATGAAGATTAAATTACCACAAGTTTAAATTTAACAAAAAAAAAATACAAATTAAAAAAACCATGTGTGCTGTGTTTGTTTAATTATATTTTTTAAATGATTGTATAGATACAAAGAGTTAGAAAAAAAATGATAAAAAAACGGTAGCGATTAGAATTAAAAAAAAATAATGATAATGATAAAACGTCAAAAAAATTGCAATTTATGAGCCTATATATTTTATGATGAAAGGAATTTTTTCTTTCCCCTGCATTGAAATGAAGAAAAAAAGCGTAGTAGAGACCAATTTTAATTGCTTAGTGAAAATGGTGTGTTTAAATAATCTTTCAACATTCCAAAGAAATATATTATAAAAAAATCTCATATCCTATTTGATACTAATATCTCTGACCAACAAAAAAAACGAAGTAGAAGAAAAAAATTGAGTAAGAATGAAAAATGTAGGGATTTATTAATAAAATAAGAAGAAAAAAATACGAGCTATTTTTCCAACGACTTAGTTTAGATTTTTCGTTTTTAAAATATTTTAAAACAAGAAAAACGCTTAAAAATACACTACAAATATTTAGTAACAAACAAAAATTAAATATAAACAATAAAATAACAAAAATAAAAACCATAATCGCTCTATATATTAATTATTTGTTTGTTACTTTATTTAAATTAACGAAAAGTAAGCGAGAATGAAAAGATAAAATGGAAACATTTCGTTTATTTCTCGTCATATCACGATAATTACGAAAAAAATTTAAATCTGAACAACAATTAATCTTTTTACAAGAAAAAAAATTAAAAAGTACTGTTTTGCTATCAGTGTTAATTAATAAACACTCAAAAGTAGTTGGTTATTAGTCACTATTTTTGGGGAATATGAAAAATATATATATTATAAGAAAAAAAAGCTTAAGCTAAAATATTTTTAACGGCGTATTTAATAAATTATAAAAAAAATTATAATAAGATTTAAAAAGAAAATTAAATGTTTCCATAAATTAATAAATTTAGCTTTGGGGCGAGTTACCAAAAGAAACCGTTCTCATAAAAAAAAATCTTTTTGCTTTCTACCCCCAGCGACGAAAAAAAAAACACCCCAATTTATGTAAAATATTAAATAATTAATCTGTATACTACTGTGTGCTCTATTAATTATTAATTAACAAAAAAATAACGTATTTAGACACAAAGTTTCTTTTGTTGTAAAAAAAAGCTCATTAAAAAATTTTTTTTTTATTAATCTAATAAAAATATTCGGTGCTTAAAAAAAACTTACATAACTACTACGAATCTTTAATCTTTTTCTCGTGCGCTTAATGTGACGCAAAATATTATTACTACTATTACAATTTTTCAACTAATTTTTAGGTACAATCGGCTACAACAAAAAATAATAAAACTTATAATAATAAGTAACAATAAAAACGTACACAATATAATTAAGTATAAAAAAAATTGTGTGCTTTACGCTGAGATTTTTCCTTTTGTTTGTAATGGAGATTTTTTTAAAGAATTAGTTGCTTTAAGAAAAAAAATATATGTACCAAGACTGATGTGTTACACTGCGCATTTGTTTATTGTTTAAAAGCCTGTATAAATAATAAAAAATTGTATAATTGCCTTTTTTGTGTTTTATTAATTATCTATTATTAGTTGTTTCTGTGTTTGTGATGGAACAGATAGTGATTTTGCGAAAAGCCATATCTATCCGGCCATTATGGTTATAATTTCTGGTGCATTTCTGAAGTGATACCCTACAATGCCACATTATTGCGATATTTGAATAAAAATGAAATTAATAAGAAAGCTGATAAGATATGTCAACTTATAAGAAACTAAAAAGAAAGTTTGATTAATAATTGGCGATATTTCCACAATTGTCATCCAAAACAAATGTTTTGGAGGACAAAATTTTTTTTGTAGAACCATGTTTAGAAAATTATACAAGAGTTGGTAGTAGTTGTTATCTATTTCATACAAACGCTGGGAGGGAAATGGATTGGAAAGCAGCTAGTTCTTATTGCAAAAAACATGGAAGTACATTAGCTGAAATGGAAACTATTGAGGAGAATCAAGATATTGTTGGATTTATTCAATCTACGCCCAATCTAAGAGGTAATAATAATTCCTCCACTTATTAGGAGTAATACACCCCCCATCAAAATATTCTAGAAAATAAAAAACGTAAAAAAATTAAGTTGGAATGTAGCATTTCCAGTGCAGACGCTTCATGATGTCCATGATCGTCCAGAACCTTACTTGCTGACGTTCTGGATGGTTCCATCTGCGTCAAATTTGTCTCTAATGCGAGCAATGATCCGTCGCGTTGGTGGCGGTTTTGCGAATTCCCTTCTGAATCGTCTTTGCATTTCAATGACGTTTTCGGTCTTCCAATAACATTTCAGGACAAACTTTCTCTCTTCCAAACTAAGTTCATTTCCTGCCATGCTGTGATTAATTAATTACACCTACAATACAAAAAAAGCAGCATGGTAATGACAGTTAAAGTGTGAGTACATTTTTTTTGAGACACCTGTATACATGAAGAGAAAGAAAAAAGCAATTCAAAATCAAAAAATACAGTTAACTATACAATAAGTACTGTTAAATATCTTCCCTCTGCTACTGAAATAACAGATATCTAACCTCTTTTTTAAAAGAGCACTCATTTGCTCAGTCTTGTGAGTAAATTTGTTTAAATACAGTTTAAAAAGATGAGTTGAACCGATTTTTTTAGTACAAATAGGGAGGACATTTGTATAAAATAATGTGACAAAACATACATAGTGTGCTAGATACATCTTTCGGCCATATTTAGCCAACCAGCCAGGGTTGGTTCATTGGAAAGAAGACTTTGGGAAATTTGCATACTCATATTCTAAGAACTGGATTTTATACGAATTTTTAAAACAACATGGGCGAAAATTGCAAAATTCGATAAAATTATCGATCATTTCAAATATTTATTTCTCAAGAACTGAAAGTGATTATTCAAAATCATATTGGTTTGTTGCATTAAAAAGAGGTTACTTTAATTAATAACACTAGTTTACAAGAAAAGTTTCAAAGACATTTTTGCATAGTGTGCTTTTGTAGCTATATGGACATGAAAGTAGACTGTTAAGAATAAATTCATTTTTATGTTTCTTGGTAAGTTTCACCGCCATTTTTTCTTTTCTTAATTGTTGACTTTCTTTGTTTCTCTTCCAGTTCGTTCCATGAAGAACATTTTTCTTTTATGTTTAGGTGATTTTCTTTCCATTTTATGTGTATAAATTAAAACTTCGTTTTTTTGCACTTTAATGGATTTTATTTATTGTTTTTTCTCAACCGGTTTCGCTATATTTACATAGCATCTTCAGGAGAGTTACGTCAATTTGCTACAAAAATATACTTTAGCTTGATTCATTTGGTAATTCCTTGTTTATTTCTATTGTTAAACTATATAGATGATATTTATTAAGTATGATTGAAGAGGATTAAAATTGTTTAGATACGTGATGTGTCATGGAATTCGTTGTCAAAGTTAATTTTATCAAAAATTAACAAGGAAATAAACAAGGAATTACCAAATGAATCAAGCTAAAGTATATTTTTGATTATATATTAATTGACGTACCTCTCCTGAAGATGCTATGTAAATATAGCGAAACCGGTTGAGAAAAAACAATAAATAAAATCCATTAAAGTGCAAAAAACGAAGCTTTAATTTTTCTTTTATTTCAATATACTTTCAGATTTCTTTTCACTTATTTCTCAAGTTTATTCCTCGTTTTATCTTTTTCAGAATTTTTATTTCTGCCTGAACTCCATAATTTAGAAATATCCTTTCACTAATTCACAATAATAATCATTTATCCCTTTTCATACTCCCGTTATTTAATTTCAACATAAAAAGCTTTTTGAGTAGTTTTTTGAAGGAATAATTAATATAAGAATATAATCTCCAGACCCCCTTTTTTAACATTTTCCCTCCCTTCTGTTTTTACCATAATGGTCCACCGCTGTTGATTTTGATGGTTTTTCATTTTTGAACAGTTTTTACCATTCATCCTCGTATTCTTCCAAATACGGTAAATATTTATTTTGTAATTGATAGTTATTTTTATTTTGATATAGTAATTTTAATTACCTTTTGACATGTTTTTCCTTTTTTTGTTTATTATTCTTAGTCGTGCCCGATGAAGACAATGTACTGTCGAAACATGTAGCACCGAAATAATTTAATAAATTTAACAATTTTCATCGTCTTTTGGGAATTTCTATTATCTTTTTACGATGAACTTAGAATCAAGCCAAAAATGAAAATAGTGATCCAGACGAACATTTTGAGGTATTGATGGCATAAATCGGACTCTCTGTTATATTGCTACAGCCTAAAACAACTCGACAAAATCAAATTTTTTGGCATTTTTCCCATTTTTTTATCACTTATTGGCACCGTAACGAAACAGAATTATATATGAAGAAAAAAGTTTGCTATTCTATCCTGTAGAACATTTAATTCATTATTACTAATAATTTTTTTTAATAAAGAGGTATTTTAACTGTTCCAGGCACTAAGTATAAACATTAAATTCACTGAAATCAATATTATTTTATCTGTTCTAAATGATGAACATTAAGCATATCAAGTAATTAAAATTTATTGGCAGTCGTTGCTAGATGACATTTTTCTACTCATAACTTTTTTCACTCTTTTACAGGATTGTATTAATTGGTCAGGAAGATTTGGTTTTGGCATAGTTTCACACTGCGCACTCGAGTTTTTGGCTGATTTTACAAACGATACCAAACTTTTCTTTGTCTTTTTATTTATATATATATTATTATACAGGTGTCACACAAAAAACGCCCCAAGCTGTAACTCTGTCATTTATATTCCGATTTTCATGAGCGGGGTATCAAATGAAATGGTTTCATGAATACTATGATTCATGCTACAAATAAATTTTTTCCAAGGCCATCTTCAATTTTAAGCGATTATTAATTTTTTCTTTACGTCATTGGATAGAGAATGTTTTTCTGAATACACTGATGTACAATACATCCATTTTGAATATAATTTTAGCAGAGAAAAGACACCTGTATGTAGAGGTTGACACACAAGAACGCCGCAAGCTGTAACTCTGTCATTTACCTTCCAATTTTCATGACCCAGCTATCAAATGAAATGGTTTGATGAATACTATGATTCATGCTACAAATAAACTTTTTGCAACGCCATCTTCAATTTCAAGCGATTAACAACTTTTGATTTTCAAATTGCTCGGTATGTTTTTCATCACGTTATTAGATAGAGATTTTTTTTTCTGAACCCTTTGATGTACAATAGATTAACATTAATTGTAATTTTAGCAGAGAAAAACAATTAAAACATTTTCCGAACATTGTCTCTAGTGTGCCATAGAAAAATATAACGGGCAAAACTGATAACAGTCATTAAATGTTATTTCAATGTTGTAAATGATACTTATAAGTTGTTTTTTTTTATTTTTTTCCATGGCACACTACTGTATACCACAAGTGACTTTAAGAGAATGTTCGGAAACTATTTTAATGTTTTTCTTTACTACAATTATAATTAATGTTGATGTATTGCACATGCATGGATTCAGAAAGAAAATCTCTATCCAATAACGTGAAGAAAAACATACCGAGCAATTTGAAAATCAAAAGTTGATAATCGCTTTAAATTGAAGATGGCTTTGGAAAAAGTTTATTTGTAGCATGAATCATAGTATTCGCAAACCTTTTCATTTGATACCTCGCTCATGAAAATCGGAATGTAAATGACAGAATTACAGCTTGCGGCATTCTTGTGTGACAACCTGTATCTACAGGTGTCTTTTCTCTGCTAAACTTACATTCAAAATGGATGTGTTGTACATCAATGGATTCAGGAGAACAATCTCTATCCAATGACGTGAAAAAAAAATATACGCAGCAATTTGAAAAATAAAAGTTAATAATCGCTTAAAATTGAAGATGGCGTTAGAAAAAATTATTTGTAGCATGAATCATAGTATTTATAAAACCATTTCATTTGATACCTAGGCCATGAAAATCGGAATGTAAATAACAGAGTTACAGCTTGGGGCGTTTTTTGTGTGACACCCTGTATATATACTACTTTACTTATTGTTAGTATAGTGCGGGATATGATTACTTTTCGACAAATTTTTGTATGTCTTTGGGTCGATTTCTCTGATAACACTCCAGAGATAATCTCCCATCACCCTGCGTCCCAGTAACCTTGATAACGTCTTTCCAATGTCATAAAGTCTTGACGGAACCGCTCGTCTTGCTCGTCACTTTCCGCTCCAAGATTGCTTGGAAAAAAATCTAAGTGCGAATGGAGAAAATGGATTTTGAGCGACATATTTGCATTTATGCTTCGTAATTGTGCAATAAGTTGGAACTTGTCTGTTTTAGTTGGAGTAACTCGACATACTCTATTCCCCTTTGCAATAAAATACAGGAATCACCATGGGATTTCTTAGTTCTAGTAAATAAGGATGCAACATGGAAACCTCTATAAATATAGGTTCATTGGGTTTTAACCAATGTTCGGAAAGTGAAATTGCATTGACCTCACCTTCTAGACTGTCAACAAGGGTCAAAAGATCATCAATTTTATTTCTTAAGCTTTAAATATTGTTGTGTATAAGTGTAAATTTTTGAACATTACTTTGTTTGCTTACTGAAAACGTTTTGTTTTGTTTATTATTCCAAATTGATTATTAAAACTATCATTTAAATAGTCTCTACTTATTAATTAAGTAGTCTGTTTTTGAATAATCCTTACTCGGAATAAAAAACGGTTCTCTCGAACTCCACTTGGCCACGTCGTAGCATTTTTAATCTTTTCATATTGTTCCTCTATACCAGTGGTGTCCATAACGTCGATCGCGAAACCATTTTGAGTCGATCGCCAACAAAATCATAAATCTGAAATAGATACTTCAACTGAATATGAATTTAGAACTTCAAGGACAGAATAAAACTATTTTTGACATGATGAGTTCTGTAAATGCCTTTAAACAAAAACTAAACATAATGTTATCTAGAACGAATGATAATAATTTTACTTCATTTCCCAATATGACGTCTCAATTAAAAAATATTGCTGCTACCGATATCGATTTAAATAGGTATAAAAATGAAATTAAAAACCTAATTGCAGAGTTCGACAATCGTGTTCAAGATTTTTAAAAAATTGATGACTTTTTGATCACTTTTCCGTTTAATAAAAATATAAATATAGAAAGCGTTGCAGAGAAACTGTCTAACTTGTTCGAGATAGATGTATGTACATAAGGTAGAATCAGAAATCATAACACTGCAAAACGATATGAAAAATATTTGAAAATATTTATCGGAAGACAAGTATACAAATTTTCGAAAATGTGTTGAGAATTTATACTCATGTTGTGGTTCAACATATTTCACCTAAAGTACATTTTCACAAATGAAAATAATAAAATCTAAATACCGAACGGCATTGACGCATTGATAGATACTCATTTAGACTCTTGTTTAGAATCCAGTAGGTAAAAAAGGAAAGCGAATTTTAACATGCAACAAAGATTTTAAACCCTTCGGTCGATCTTGGCAAAACATTTATATAAAAGATTGATCTTGGTCAAAAATTAGTGGACACCACTGCTCTATACAGATACTTTAAATGAAGCATACTCGTCAGGGTATTTAGCATTCCTTTTTTCACATTTTATATCAGTTAAATAAAAAAAAGGTGCAACTGGAAATCCTGCGAGATGATTCCCGCTCACGAGCCTCCAGCCTTTTTTGATCCATCTGTGTAGATGGTCAGCGTTTTACTTGTACTAAAGTCTGGGGTCTCTTGCGTCTCAATGCTAAAGTATGGCATGTTTAGGAAAGTAGGTGTGATGTAGTCTGTGCGAGCTTCAAGCAGGGGTTGTTATTAACAAGCTGACCAATCGTTGCAATTGGTGCATCAATCTAACCTTAGCATGTTACCCCCATGCATTTCGCTTTCCTTTTAGACACTGCTTCACTACAAGTTGCCCTTTGAATGGAATTATTGATTCGTTAATGCATAGATTTTATTTGATTGCCAACTCTTCATAGGTACCTCTTTTTGAAAAAATTCAGATTCAAATCAATTACGTGGTAATCGAACATCATTTACGAATTGTATTCTTGTGGCAGATGATACCCCTGAATATATGCAGAGCTACAAGCGGAACTCTGTAAATGTTATGGTAGCAAATCCCACCGGCAGGGTTAATATAATAAAACATTTAGATGTAAAATTTCAATCTAATCGCTTATAATGAAAACATTAGAAATACAAACTCTATATACCGTGTCCCGTATCTTCCGCATCAGAGCATTATACGGTTGAAGGATACACATTATTCTGAAACGTTTATTGTAATAAAACTTTTTCAAAATATTTATAATAACTCCACCTGCGGCCAGTCCTGCTCTGATGCGGAAGATATGGGACACCTGTATATACAAATATTAACTTAAACTCATTTTAGTAATTCTTTTAACATACAATTTTCATTACAACACATTCATTTTAATCTAATTAACCTAAAATACCAACTAATAGATTATTTTTAACCGTACAATTAGAAGGTTTTAATTTACCCAAACGAACTTCATAACCGAATTGTTCAGCGTACAATTTGCGATCCCAATCGATAATATCCATACAACGAAATCCGTTTTTAGTTTTAGGATTTTCTTCGTCGTGAGTTTGATCGGCCCCACGCGTCGCCCTCAAATACTCATCGTAACTTAACATGTTCTTAAAATAACCACTCCTCGGGTACGAAATTTGATGGCAATTTTTAATTGCCCCATAACAACAAGGACAACACACAAAATCCGCTTTATTATCAATCGATTTTTGTATAACCAAATCAGTAGCTACACCACACGCATGTAAAGAGATTCCAATATTAAATTTACCGATGAAGTAATCAAGATTTGATTGAACGATTTGGATGTTGGTTAATTTTAGGGATTTGATACGATTTAGAGCCATTTCGAGGGACCGTTCTTTGTTTTCAACCAAAATTATCGTTGAATTTGGGAGGAGAGTTGATAATAAAATTCCTAAATGACCACCTCCGCTACAAAAATCAACAATTTTAATTGATTTTTGAGAGGTTTTTGTTTGGATTATTTTTAAGACGGATTTTGCTAAATTTTCTAGTTGTTCGCATTTCCTTTTTGACCGATTTTTCGGTAAAGCCGCCCCTGGATTTGCATTAAAAGGGATTAAACCCCAATCAAAATTTAAATCATCGCCAAAAGGAATTAAATTATTGGAAATTTTTAAATTATGCAAGGAGCGATTTAAATCGTCTATTATTTCGGATGTGACACTTATTTCTTGTTTATATTTGTTTTGTTCGGAACTATAAAGACTTGTATGTTTAATTTTGGGTAAAATTACCTTTTTAATTGATACGATATCGGGTTTTTTGTCAATATTTATGTTTAATTCGCTTAAATCCATGCGTTTCATCCAAGATGAGGTTAGATTTAAATCGTTTTTGGAATCGCCGTCGAAAATAATTTGGGTAAAAATTAATTTGTAACAAAAATAAATGATACAATCGGCTAGAGTCATGTATAAACCTTCAGCGTATAAATGATTTAAATTTAAACCTTCAATTGGTAAGCTACTTTTTAAATCTTTGTCATTATGAACTCTTCTTGCAACTTTATAAATGTTATGCATTCGAACTGGCTGGTTTAAATGGTGTTCGAATTTCCCAAAACAAATTGGGGCTTTAAAACAATCATTCTCAATAAATTTATTTAAATCAACCAATAAATCTTTTGTTGTTTTTATTATATCAACCTCACAAAATTTCGTCCAAGTAGACGTTTCAGAGCAAGCCATCAAACAAGATTCTTTGAACCCCAATAAATTTTTAAGATTACTATTATTACTCAATTTAATAATTTGGCGACAAACCGCGCATAAACCAGCTACAACTTTATTATTTGTTATTACAATAGGCCATTTACAATAACTCCCAATCCGCGGAATATCGTTTTTATTAATCACCACAAATTTATCTAAATCTAAAACCATTTTTAATTCACCTTCATTGTCAACCACACATAAATTAACATCTACATCACATTTAACTGCTAAATTATAAACTATAAATGATTCTAAACTCAACCCAAACATATTTTCAACCAAAGTTAAACTTCCCTCAATATAAACACTCATTTTAATTTGATTTATTTTAAACACTATTAGCTAATTGTCTTTGTACCCTTTGTAATAATCGCTTATTTAATACTTTTTTCCTGGCTATCACAAAAACGAGTGAGACTAAAGATCCCATAAACATTGAACATTCAAATTTCCAAAATCTTTTTTCATCCAAATAAACAGCTCGATCGCAACTTCTCGTTACCATTTCACCACTTGCACATTTTATTACTTCCTTAAAATGCGTTTCAATACACACTCCAATACTTTTACTAGTAATTTCATATGCTAAAAATCAATATAAACAATTATTTGGATTTTTTTTAAGGTTATGTTCTAACCTGTACAAGGTTCGCATTCCTTAATAACTACATGCTTCTCTTTATCCCGACACGTGGAATTCTGTTCGATTGGAAACTCTCGTTTCTTTAAGTTTGATTCTGTCCAATTTGATTCGATAATCAAGACTAATATGGTTAATCTGATACACTGAGAGGTTAGATGTGTTTTTGCAAGGGGATTAATTTCTTAATTATAACTTACATTCCTAAGGAAGTTATTCCGATGAACATTCGACGTTTAGGACACGATTCAATCATCTTATTTTCTTATTATTATTATTATTATTATAAAGAAATAAATCTTTCAATTTTGTGGTTTGGATCTGTCAACTTGACGTATGATTTTTTTAGGTTAGACTAAATTGACAGTTTATGTTTTTATTTATACAGTGTATTTCACTTAAGAAGCAACATACAAAAATATAAAAAAAACGATACAATAAAATTAAAAAAATATTAAAATATAAAGCGAAATATTAACGGTTATAATTTTATTATTGTTAGGTTTCCAACTTGACTCGGTTACCATGGTGATTAAGATCCAAATATGGCAGGTGCTTGTCAAAATTGAAATTTAATTTAAGTTTTTTTAAGGAAAAAGTCTTATTTAATTGGTTTAAAAGGCTGTATTTAACTCAAAATTGGTTTATCTAGATCTAGAGTATTATAAACAAGGTAAGTGGATTAAATCAAAAAAACATATTTTTAATTTATTTCTCTTAATTAATCGATTTATGTAAATTAACTTAAATTAACGAATTTGTTATGAATGCGAGATAACCATAATAATAAAAAGAATTCAAATTGTTTTAAAATTAATAAAAATTCGGTTAGAATTGATAAAAAAATCGGAATAAAATTTTATTATTTTAAGGTTATCCAACTTGACTCGGTTACCATGGTGATTAAGATCCAAATATTGCAGTTGCTTGTCAAAATTGACGTTGAATTTAAGTTTTTTTAATGAAAAACACATAATTAATTGGATTTAAAGGTTGTATTTGATTCAAAATGGGTAAATGGATGAAATTATAAGCAAGGTAAGTGGATTAAATAAAAAAAAATTTTTTTAGATCAAATAAAATGTACAAGAATTTGGGGTTAAATAATAATTAAAACTAGAACTAACACTAGAACTAGAAAGTTTTATGTTTAGGGCGTCTTAAACAAGAACTTAGAAAAGTCGAAAGACACACGGCTAAACCTGAATATTTCTAGTTCTAATTCTAGTGTTAGTTCTAGTTTTACACTAGCACTATCACTAGAACTAAGACAAGACCTAGAACTAGAAACAGTCAAAACTTTCAATTGTCAATGTCAACTTTAATTTTATTATTATATTCGTAATCTTCATAAAATAACCTTTAAAGTAAGTCCAAACTTGACGCATTTATCTCAAAAAACCAAAAAGTTCGAACTTTCAACTTTTAATTTTGACATATTTGTCAACTTCATAAAAAATCCTTTAAAATGAGTCCAAACTCGACATATTTAACTTTAATATTAATGGAATTACAATCACTTCCGGTTTGAAACGTCAACGTCAATTTTGATATATTTGTCATCTTCATTAAAAAACCTTTAAAATGAGTCCAAACATGACGAACTTATCTCAAAAAACAAAAAAGTTTGAATAAAAAATCGTTAAATCCGAAGTTAGCAACAATAGCAGTTTAATTTTTAAATATTGATACCAACCTTAATTTTGTTATAATTATTATATTTTTGTTTTTGTAACAAATATTAAGACATTTTATAAAAATTAAGAATATGTCAAAATGACATTGACATTTCAAACCGGAAGTTGTTTATATCTTGAGTAATATTGGAATTAAACGTATCATGTTTGGGCTCATTTTAAAAGATTTTTCCCGACAATTACAAATATGTCAAAATTGACGTTGACATTCTTAACCGGAAGTTGACCATAACTTCATTAATATTGAAGATAAATATGTCGTGTTTGTACTTATTTTAAAGGATTTTTAATGAAGTTTATAAATATGTTAAAATTGAGGTTGACATTTTAAATCTGAAGTTAGTTATCTTATAATAGACAAATGGACAACTTCATGGTGTTCTTTCATGATGTATTCTTCATTAAAAAAAACCATTCAAATGAGTCCAAACATGATGTTGCTAAATATCACTATGTTGTATATTTTTATTGCACTAAAACTAGAACTAACACTAGACCTAGAACTAGAAAAAGAAAACTTTCTAATTCTAGGTTAAATTTTTGTTTTCTAAAATAAAAACAATTGAATGCCTTATTATAGCAAACAAAATATTAAACAACTTTTGTATAAACTGTTTTTTTATAAAGTTAATACTTACCAAGATATACAGGAAGTCCCGTATCTTCCACATCAGCCCATTATACGGTTGTAGAATACATTATTCTGAAGCGATCTTTCTAATAAAATTTTTCCGAAATGTTTGTGTGTGTGTTCCGCACGGGACACCTGTATACTATATTCCATACATAATGGGCACCTATATGTTATATTATGTTTTCCTCCAATGACGTCACATTTCCTACCTCACCCCGTCAACGTCAATTTGTTCGAGTTGGATAACCTTATAACCAATACTCAACGGAGCTTGGGTGCTTTTAAACCAAACGAAATAAAATTCATCTTAACAATTTAAATCATATCTACACATCTTTTCACCATTTTTACTAAAATATTGATTTTACAAAATTGTTTATTAAATTTTATTTTGAATTTTTGACAGCTGTCAGTTTAATACATCAAATTAGTTGCTAAAGTCACACTGTAAAATTATAACTAATTAAATAAATAAATTTAAAGAAAATTAATAATATTAATGAATTTAATACGATATAAGTTAACGTATTAAAATAATATTAATTTTTTAAAACTTTATTATAAGAATGAAGATTAAAAAGACGAGGTTAAAGTAAAGTTGTGACATTAGCCGCAATAACATTTAAAAGTCATGAATGAATCTTAATCTAAATAAAGAGGATTAAAATAAATTAACGCAAAGTAAACATGATAATGATAACGTTTAATAAATCCTTGTAGGTTTTAAAATGTGATTATATATTTGTTTAAATTAAAATTTATCGTTTAGAGTCGCGTCGAGTTAAGAAAAATTTTTTTTTGTCTCTTTAATCCCTATACTTCTTAGTGTGTTAAACAAGGATGGATTTTAATGTCATAAATAACACTTCTTCCATCAGACTTTAACCTCTTCTCTGCGAGATGTGATCGTGTATAAGAAAAACTTTAAGAAAAGTTAACCCAAATAATTAAGAAAATGTCTAGTCGTAATCCTACGACGTTAATGAGCATCCCAAATGAGGAAAGTTTTGATTTTCTCTTTAAAATAGTTTTAATTGGGGATTGTGGAACAGGAAAAACTTGTGTAGTGCAAAGATTTAAAAACGGTACTTTCATTGAACGCCATGGAAATACAATAGGAGTGGACTTTTCCATGAAAACTGTCGTCGTCGATGGAAAAAAAGTTAAAGTAAATCTCTTAAAACCAAAATTAACCTCAAAGTTATTTTTGATTCATTAATTAGTTACAGATTTGGGATACAGCAGGTCAAGAACGTTTTCGAACGATAACACAAAGTTATTACAGATCAGCAAATGGGGTAATCATTGTTTATGATATTACTAAAAGATCTTCGTTTTTATCGGTGGGAAAATGGGTTGAGGAGGTTAGAAGGTATTCGGGGAGCTCTGTTTTAGTGGCTTTAGTTGGAAATAAAGCCGATTTAGAAACCTTAAGGGAGGTGGAATTTGAAGAAGCTGAAGCTATGTGTCAGTATATGCCTGAAGTACTTTTTGTCTTGGAAGCTAGTGCTAAAGAAAATTCAAACATCGAGGAGGCATTTTTGTGCCTTGCCACAGAATTAAAAGTAATTTTGGTTGTTTAATAAGCGCCAAATTAATAAAAATTAAATTAATTTATTATTTTTTTGTTGCAGAGACGACATGATAGTGGTTATTTAGGAAATGATGATGAAGAAACGGTGAAATTAGGTGATAGTAGCACGGTATCAAAGTGTAGCGCCTGTAATAGGGGTAATCTATTTTGATGTTTGTACAGTTATAAGTGTGCCTTAGGGTTTTGATTGGTTTTTACTTCAAAAAAATTATTAAAGCAATTCAAAAATGGTTTTTAGAAAGAAATATTTAATTCTTACCTCAAAAAATTATTATAAAACAATATCAATTAATGATTTGAAGAATATGAGGTTAAGAGAAAAAATGAATACAATGAAAATAAAAGTAAAAACTTTTCCGTCCTGGTCAGATAATATTTTTGTTAGAAATAACTCATGAAAAAAAATCGAAATTAATCAATACTTATTTAATTTTATTTCTAGATTTTCTTGTAGAGTTTTATTTTTATTATTATTTTTTTTTTGTAGTGAAACTTGCCATAGAATTCTCATTTTTTAATCATAATTAATCAGTATTATAATTTCTCTAATATTTTTTAAAGTACATCTAACGTAATAATGCAATACTCAATCAATTTGTCAATTTCAAGAATGAAACGGCGATTTTAATTAATTACTCGCGATAGAAATTTATTTAAACATGGTGCCACTGATACAAATTATTATTGAAAATAAAATGCAGTCGATTCCGCTTAATTGGGGCACCTCCATTCACCATTTTATCCCAATAAAGCAAAGTACGCATAAATTAAAACAAAAATGACTTTCTAAAATATTTGTGGAAAATGAATCTAAGTATGCAGTATAAAAAATAAAGTATAAAAAGGTGTATATTTTAAATTAAAATAATAATAATATATGTAAACACTCAAAAACAATTAAGTATTTATTTTTTTAATAAGTTATGCTTTTTACGACGAAATTAACTCAATTATACATATTTTTGCGTGCGCGTTGGTTGTAATATAGTAATTATTTGTTTTCTCCTACAAGTCTTTATTAGATAATACCTCCAGCCACCTCAATGATTGATAAATGATTACTTGTAATTTGTTCGACATCTCCTTGGTGACGTTCCATATTTCATACCTATACAAGGTCATCCACGATGACCGTCCATTAGAACTATACAGGGTTCTGGCCAAAATAAAAATTTGAAAATTCAGATTTCAGTATTATCAATTGCGTTCTGTTCGACTAAAATGTGTTCAGATTTCTAGCACTTCCAGTTCGCCACCTACTTTATTTTTTTAAACGAAACACCCTGTATATTTTTACATATTTGGATTTGTCTGTTTTCAAGGTTTATAAATAACTTTCCTTTTTGCAATTTGATTCGGCCGTTCTCGAATTATTCTTATTTTTCTAGAAAAATCTGCTCAAGCAGGTTTGATTCAGAACATGCTTAAGCAACATGATGGAGTATGTTTTGGTGCCGAGTACGGCTGTCTAGAACGTTTGGTCATTTTACTATGGCACGTTAACTTTTTGAAACTTGGAAGTACCATAACTTCATTTTTTTAAATGGCACCCCCTATATTTTATTACTATAGTAGACTCCACGAGAGCTGGCAGTCAATCATCGCTTTCCGTTCTTACATATGAGAACTACGTATGAGTTCACAAACTGCTAGAGAGTAATGTGTGTTAGAAAGAGATAGCATTAGTTTAATATGTCTGCTGTACAATTCAAATGGCCACGTCGAAAAAGTACGTCTGTTCTTCTAAGGGATGTAACTCTATAATTATAACCTCAAATCGAAACGTCTTGTGAGCGTTGTCATGAAACTGTTAGTGTTTTCACAAGCCGAAAATGTTTTCTTTGAAAGGAAAATCATTAAATAATATCTTTGACAATGTTTGACATATAACCTCCATTACTAACATAATCTACATTTAAATGTATGTAGTGAAATAATCTAAGTTGTACGTCCATATCTTGATTCATACCATTTTTAAGCGATCTGTCACTGCCAGCTCTCGTGGTTTCTACTATACTTAGTCGTCTTCGGTGTCTCATTTTACATATTTTATATCCGATATGTCCTATACCTACCATTTATAGTTTGGGAGATAATAAGGGTTTTTTTGAAAAATGCACACACATCATATCGATATTTAACCTAGTGTGCCATGAATTAAGTGCCTAGTGTGACCTAGTGAATAACCAAATGAAGTGGGGGTTTGAAAATTTGCAGATTTGTAATGTTTGATGCCAGCTTTTTAACTAAAATATTTTCAAGTTCCGGATATTTGTGGTTACACCAGAAGAGGTGACAATTTTCATATTTCAAATGGAACACCCTGTATTCTATTACATTTTTGAAATTTTTGTTCAATTTTAGGCCACTTGTATGTTACATACACTATACCTAAGTGGAGTCATTTTTGAGATTTTAATTTTTTGTAATAAAAAATGTCAACTACAACGTTACTTGCTATAATCATCTACTCTGACCGCCGGAAAAAAATGTTGTGTTTATGTATCATCGGAGGATCAATAAGGAAAAAATAAACAGTTTGACATTTGCTAAAGCTATGGTTTATTTCTGTTGGTGTGATGACTAGGTTACTTTTTGTAGTGATCTGTTCTCAACCAAAACATACTCCATCATGTTGCTTAAGCATGTTCTGAATCCTAAATTGATATCCCAAAAATCAAGTGATCACTGATTTTTTGAACAAATGTCTGCAGAAGCAGATTTTTCTAGAAAAATTCGAATAACTCGAGAAAACATGACAGTTATTCATAAACCTAGAAAACAGACAAATCCAAATATGTAAAAATATACAGGATGTTCCATTTAAAAAAATAAAGTAGGTGGCGACTTCCGGTATAACAGGAAATGATAAAAATCTGAAAATATTTTAGTCAAAGAGAACGCAATTGATAATACTTAAATCTAAATTTTCAAATTTTTATTTTGTACAAAACCCCGTATAGTTCTAATGGACGGTCGTCGTGGATGACCCTGTATAGGAATGTTAGTTTTAAAATGTAAGATTTTAAATCCTTCGGTCGATCTTGTCAAGATATTTATATAAAAAGTCGATCTTGATCAAAGATTAGTGGACACCACTGTTATATAGAGGACTGGCTATTGAACAAGCGAAGTTTTGTTCTTTTTGAAATATTCTGTATTCGTTTCTTCACATCATCCTCTGCCACTCTATCCTCCCCAACAATGTTACTCAGGTACATAAATGTTTCAACTCATGCCAAGTCTTTTCCATTCACTGTTAGCTTAGCTTCGACTACAGAATTAATCTTTTTCGATTTTTAAATATTGACTTTTTGGTCCTGCTGCTTCTGCTTCATCTTGCAGTTTTCTCAGCTTTACTTTGATGTCATAAAATTTGTGTGAAAGCCTTTCTTTTTGTTGTGCAACTATACCTACATCGAAAACCCGATTGTTCTGAAGGGAGCAAAAACTATTGGTCTCCATATACTCCACCAATTGAGCCTTCATAACCTTCTCTAAAACTTTAGAAAGAACAGGGAGAATCCTTATTGGTCGCAAGTCACTATACTCTCGTGGGTTATCTTTTTCTGAGCAGAGGAATAACCTGTGCGTGTTTCAATTCCAAGGGAAAGACATGGTCAACTAAACAACAATTCAGTATGTGGGTCAGTCTGATCATCTCAATGGAAATTCCATCAGTACCAACAATAGAAGATGTAATAGATGCAATCACGTCAGAAACCAGAGGGATCTCCACAGTTTTAAAGGAAAACTCACTACTGTAAGTAGAAGAACTATACAGATCAAGGTCAGAAGCCTGCAAATCTTTAATAATGTCATTTACACTGCTTACAACATAATCATTAATCTGATCAGGATGTTTTAAATTTAAAGGTAGACAAGATTTTTGAATTGGTTTTAAGTTCAAAATTTTCAAATTATTCAGCATCTGTTTGGCATTGCTCGTAGCAGCAATAGAACTAAAATAAGGTCGCTTTTCATTTCTTATAGCTGCAGTAGTAAGATTACGAAGGGTCTTAAATAATCATATTCCCAACGAGCCTGTCTGCCCGTATGTCTAAACTTGGTTTTAGCCTCATTTCTCAACTTAGTCATTAATCTAATATATAGACATTGCTTTATTGGAGCGTGAATATCAAATAAATCAATTAAGGCGTTTGTAAAGAATGAGACCTATAAAAAACATTACAAAGATTACACCTTCGAAAAATAACTATCCAGAAAAATTTGCCTTTTTCTTTGCTGGAGAATTTTACGAAAGTGTGCCATTAGCCACTACAGTAACAGTTTTGTCAGAGTGATGTTTTTCAATAAAAGCCTGTATATCATTCCACTTACTGCAAATATCCTTTACTTCAGCAGTTGAAACATCTCTCATGTTCTTCTGCTGAATGCTCCTTCTCCACAGCTTTCATCTGCTCAAGTTTCAATTCAATAAGTTCTTCTGGAGTGAGTTCTTGGCTATGGTCCTGCAGCAGCTCCACCACATCAACCTTATTGATTTCGAACTCCAAACAAAAAATCTGCCTCTTCCTCAAAGTCTTTGAAATGTCTGTCAGGGACAGAAGCTGGCCAAATTTCTCTCCATACCGACTGCAATGTACGACGATTGTTCCAGGCTTTATTAATGAAATTTATGAAGCGGATAATATTAAAATGATTCTTCTAGAAATCTCGCAGGGTCAAATTTGTATCATTAGTAGTTACCTGGAAACACTGAAAAAAGAGCTTTCGTATATAGCTTCTTAAAGTTTGAAATTCCTTGTTGATCCATCGGCTGTAATAAGGGTGTGGTGTTATTTGGCAGAAATTTGATCTTAATAAAGTTGTATGCAGGATCAAGATCTCTTTCAAGCATTGTCCATAAGTACCACACATTTCAAGGACAATTTCTTTTCCTCAGGATGTGTTTTAGCAGAAGGAGCAAAAACGTCATTCAACTACTCTCTAAAATATATTCCGGTAACCCAAACCTTAGAATTTGATTTGGAAGTTTATTTTTTATCAGGTTATTGTTCTTAAAAGCACGCAGATTGTCAGAGTGGTATACTAAAAGGGTTTAATTTTGAAATCTCCACTTGCATTTGCACACAATAACAATGTAAGCTTATTCTTCATTGGTTTGTGGCCAAATAGTAATTTTCCTCTATGGTTATGTATGTTCTCTTTGGAATTTTTTAGACTATGAATTCCAGTTCGTCGGCGAAATTTTTCGAACCATCCTCTACTTGCCTAGTACTTGGCTGGTTTAACAATAAATATTAATGTAGTTTTAAAGCCTTCGCACACATCAAAACTTCTTTTAAGGGATTCATTATTCTTTTCTTCTAACACTTGAAGCCTTTGTTTTGTAAACTTAGTCACTTCTTTAGATACATTAGCTTTCTTCAGCGCATCTTTATTCTTTAGAATAGTACAGATTGTCGCTTTCAGAAATCTTGATATACATTCAAGTTTTCTAACTGCCATATCAGCTTTATACAAAAGATTGTTTTTTCCCGAGAATAGTTCCCTTATTGGCACATCCCAATTTCTTTCAACACCGGTTTGCAGCACCAAGCTCAAAAATGCATAAAGCTCAACCAAGCCTATTTCGCGCCATGTAATATTTTTCTGCAGGCTACTAAAACATCTACCTTCTAAATTTGTACAATGAAGTATCTTTTTCAAAATACCTTCTGTCATGAAATATTCAAAAGCATCGCGAGGGGAACAAAGTTTTTGGTGCACATCTTATGATGTTATATACTTACGAGTTTTAGATTGGCGTAGCGGTGTAGTTTATGGCGATCATATGTACGAGACTCAAAGAAAATCATTTCGATGGATATTATTAGTACTGATTAAGCGGAAAGCTGTCTCAATTAAGCAATTAAAATATACATTAATTAGATAGTTTGGATTTCGTTCTATGAAATTTGTCCCAAATAAGCGGTTGCCCCGATTAATCGGTGTCCCAATTAAGCGGAATCGATTGTACTAAAAAAAAACAATATTATAAGTAATAAATATTTTATTCATGTTTATAAAGTACCGATGTAATCGATTTTTTTATCACATTGAATCAATAATAAATAATAGGAATTATATAACTATAATAAAATTAAAATAAAAACAATTTTAATAAATAATGAATAAAAAAAAATTGTTATTATATTTTAATTAATAATTAAGTTTTTATTTAATAACTTGTGTATCTGTGTAATTTTTCTTCTTCTTATTTAATTGTAGTTAAATTCTATGTGCTAATAATGTTAAAACGATGTGTTTGTTGAAAAAATTAATTAAAAAAAATATTTAACTTTTAAAGTTTTATTAAATAACAATAATTCTTTAAATAATAATAATAATCAATCTAAAATTGGCTTTTATTTTTTACTAATTGAAATATTTTCATATTATAATATAAACAGTGAATTTCACTTAAAATGCAATATACAAAAATATATTTTTATAGAAACCAGGACGTACCTACTTAATTTGTCCTACATAAAATGCAACATGTCTGAATGTTTCTAAAGAGTAGGTCTAACTTTAGTTCTAGTGACAGTGGTAAGTAGCGCTAGTTAACAGAAAATATCACTGCGTTCCATATTTTTATTGAAGTAAAACTAGAACTAACACCAGATCTTGAACTAAAATCATTCGGGTTTAGCCGTCTTGAGAGACTTGCGGCTAAACCCGAATGTTTCTAGTTTTCGGTCTAGTGTTAGTTCTAGTATAGCACTAGCACTGTCACTAGAACTAACACAAGACCTAGAACTAGAATCATTCGGGTTTAGCCGTCTTGAGAGACGTGCGGCTAAACCCGAATGTTTCTAGTTTTCGGTCTAGTGTTAGTTCTAGTATAGCACTAGCACTGCCACTAGAACTAACACAATACCTAGAACTAGAATCATTCGGGTTTAGCCGTCTTGAGAGACGTGCGGCTAAACCCGAATGTTTCTAGTTCTAGGTCTAATGTTGGTTTTAGTTTTACAGTAGCACTATCACTAGACCTAGAACTAGAATCATTCGGGTTTAGCCGACTTGAGAGACATGCCGCTAAACCCGAATGTTTCTAGTTTTAGTTCTAGTGACAGTGGTAAGTAGCGCTAGTTAACAGAAAATATCACTGTGTTCCATATTTTTATTGAACTAACACTAGACCTAGGACTAGAATCATTCGGGTTTAGCCGTCTTGAGCGACGTGCGGCTAAACCCGAATGCTTCTAGTTCTAGGTCTAATGTTAGTTCTAGTTTTACAGTAGCACTATCACTAGAACTAACACTAGACCTAGAACTAGAATCATTCGGGTTTAGCCGTCTTGAGAGACGTGCGGCTAAATCCGAATGTTTCTAGTTCTAGGTCTAGTGTTAGTTCTAGTTTTACACTAGCACTATCACTAGAACTAACACAAGACCTAGAACTAGAATCATTCGGGTTTAGCCGTCTTGAGAGACGTGCGGCTAAATCCGAATGTTTCTAGTTTTCGGTCTAGTGTTAGTTCTGGTATAGCACTAGTACTGTCACTAGAACTAACACAAGACCTAAAATTAGAATCATTGGGATTTAGCTATATTGAGAGACGTGGGACTAAACCTGAGTGTTTCTAGTTCTAGGTTTAGTGTTAGTTCTAGTTTTAATTGTTATTCACCGTTGGATTGTGGTATCTTTCTATTGAACGAAAAGTATAACTAACACTAGATCTAGAACTAGTTATCATAAGGATGTCTTTTTCCAAGCAAAACTTTTCCTTTGCAAAACTACCCATTGCCTGTACTATTAAGCTATGTTGCATTTTATGTGAAGTACAAGTACATATTAGTACAAGTACATAGTGCAAGTACATAGTAGTTTCGTAACTATGGTTACTACAATCATATATTGCGAGTTATATGAAATTCTCGTTATAATTGAGCAATAAAAAAATGCCTCTTATTTTTTTTATCAATAAATAAATACTACTCTATAAAATAAATTATACATTTATAATAAATTTTTAATTAAAAGACTATTTCATCTCTCATCCATATAAATAAATCTACACCCGTTTTGTTTGCTTAATAAAATCGATATTTTATATACACTTAATGGTTATCTAATTTTTTAAATAATAATAAATTATTTCTTTGTATTTTCTAATACATGTTTTTTCTTAATTACATTTTTAATGTGTCTGCTTTGTAGGTAACTGAATGTTCCCCATCATCAATTTCATTATCGTTTTCGTCTAATTCCTCTGAATATTTATTGTGTTTCGGTAAAAATAACGATTTAGGACAATCTTTTAAGTACGGCCAACATTCTCCTGGACTGTCTTTAGTTCCTCTTCCAGATTTTTCCGCTTCAACATATTCGTTGAGTAAATGCGAATATGGCGACTTACTGGCTCTGAAAATTTAAGAATCGTTTAAAATGAATTGTTTGAAAATAGCACAATTCCTTACGTTAAAAATAATTTAAAAAATTCTCCGAATAATCCGAAATTTCTTAACGGATGAGCGTGAATTTCGCAAATAGCTCTTAATAAACATGCTTTTCCATCCAAACCAAAATTTTCCAAAAAATCTTGAACTACCATATACAGTATGGCTCTTTCACCGCCATGAAACGCATCCAAGTGTTTTTCAGACAATTTGGGCATGTTTTCTCTCTTCTGCCTGCGCTTCTTTTTATGGTCTAGCATACTTTCTATGTAATTTCCAAGTAGATCGGCGACTGAATTACCCATCGATCGTGCCAATAATGGCGGCAATACGCCGTAAGGATTTTCATTATCAGTTAAACCCAATTTATCAAAATCAACTAAAAAATTTAAACAAAATTAATCAATATGAAATTTTTGTTTTCTATTTTTTACTTGTAAATGGTAAGCTTATCGTTAGATTACTGTGAAAACCTTCCGGAGGATATCGAACGAACGGCATCGAAAGGGAAGGTCCAACGACTAAAGTGGTACCCGGCGGTAAAGCTAAACGACCATCGGAAGTCACCCACAAAATCCTTTTTTGTCGTGAATTCGATGTCGTTTCTGCAGCCTGCGAACTTGATGAAGCAAGTAAAAGGAGTGCGATCAGTGAAATTAGGTCCGGTTTTCTTTTTCGACGTAAATATACCTTCATTGCATTTGATAAGTTTTTTTCTGTTATTTCTAGAAAATAAAAAGAAATTATATACTTAATAAAAAGGAATTAAAATGATTAGAAATTCAATTACAGTAAAACTTTGATATAACGGACAAAATATTTTTACTTTAATACATCGGTATATTTAAATATAAATGTTAGTGGTCATAGATTACACAGGGTATTCCCCGAGGTGTCTATACAATGTATAAATAAAATACTTTTAATTGTTATCCAACGCTAGATTATTGTATATTTTACCGATGAGACGATAGCAACAAACCGCCCAGCAACAAACTTTTTCCTTTATATTTCATTTCCACCTACTTAGGGCCCATATCTTTGTTATTTAGAAAGATAGCGCAAAACTAAGCACACGGCTGAAAAGCTTGGTCTTTTCTCTATCTTAAACCGTATAATAAGAGCAAGAAAAAATAAAAAACGTCGCGCTGCATTCAATTTACCTTAAAATTACCAAACTTTATGGCCTTGTGCAGGCGTTACCAGATGGAAATTCAATAAATGGTTTACATATTCGGAAAGAGCTGAGCTTGGACTATCTTATTCCGGGTTTTCGTCCGTCAATATCTCTCGGCGTCTGTAAAGAAAACGCTCCTGAAAAAGAGCCTACAGTTGGCAACAAACTTTATCTTTGCATTTTCATCTACTTTTCGGACGGATATCTTTGTTACTTATAACGCTAGCGAAAAACTAAGCACACGGTTGGAAAGCTTGGTCTTTTCTCTATCCTAAACCGAGTTTTCGTCCGCCGATATGTTGATAATGAGAGCAAGAAAAAATAAGAAACGTCGCGCTGCATTCAATGTACCTCCAAATTACCAAACTTCACGGCCTTGTGCAGCCGTTACCAGATGGAAATTTAATAAATGGTTTACATATTCGAAAAGAGCTGGTCTTGGACTATCTTATTCCGAGTTTTCGTCCGTCAATATCTGTCGGCGTCTGTCAGACCAAGGAGAGACCAAGCTTTCCAACCGTGTGCTTAGTTTTTCGCTATCTTNAAACTTTGATATAACGGACAAAATATTTTTACTTTAATACATCGGTATATTTAAATATAAATGTTAGTGGTCATAGATTACACAGGGTATTCCCCGAGGTGTCTATACAATGTATAAATAAAATACTTTTAATTGTTATCCAACGCTAGATTGTTGTATATTTTACCGACGAGACGATAGCAACAAACCGCCCAGCAACAAACTTTTTCCTTTATATTTCCACCTACTTCTAGGGCCCATATCTTTGTTATTTAGAAAGATAGCGCAAAACTAAGCACACGGTTGAAAAGCTTGGTCTTTTCTCTATCTTAAACCGTATAATAAGAGCAAGAAAAAATAAGAAACGTCGCGCTGCATTCAATGTACCTCAAAATTACCAAACTTCACGGCCTTGTGCAGTCGTTACCAGATGGAAATTTAATAAATGGTTTACATATTCGGAAAGAGCTGGTCTTGGACTATCTTATTCCGAGTTTTCGTCCGTCAATATCTGTCGGCGTCTGTAAAAAAAACGCTCCTGAAAAGGAGCCTACAGTTGGCAACAAACTTTATCTTTGCATTTTCATCTACTTTTCGGACGGATATCTTTGTTACTTATAACGCTAGCGAAAAACTAAGCACACGGTTGGAAAGCTTGGTCTTTTCTCTATCTTAAACCGAGTTTTCGTCCGCCGATATGTTGATAATAAGAGCAAGAAAAAATAAGAAACGTCGCGCTGCATTCAATGTACCTCAAAATTACCAAACTTCACGGCCTTGTGCAGCCGTTACCAGATGGAAATTCAATAAATGGTTTACATATTCGGAAAGAGCTGATCTTGGACTATCTTATTCCGAGTTTTCGTCCGTCAATATCTGTCGGCGTCTGTCAGACCAAGGAGAGACCAAGCTTTCCAACCGTGTGCTTAGTTTTTCGCTATCTTTCTAGATAACGAAGATATGGGCCCTAGAAGTAGGTGGAAATATAAAGGAAAAAGTTTGTTGCTGGGCGGTTTGTTGCTATCGTCTCGCCGGTGTATATTTTAATTGAACTAAAAGTAAAACCCCAGAACTAGAAACATTTAAGTTTAGCTCTCTTAAGAGACGTACGGCAAATGTTTCTAGTTCTAGATCTAGTGTTCACTATTATTCTTATCTAGTCCCAATATTAAACCTAATTTTATCTTTGTGTATTTATTCTATGTACCATAATATCCATCATATAAATAAACTTAAGAATCACTAGATATTCTGAATTCAATAATATAAGTTTATCCTCCATTTTTCTATAATACCTGTCAATTTGTTAAAAGTTGGTAACAATTGACAAGATTAATAGGGAATTTTGTTATATCATGTTTTAAAATAAATTTGACACATTGACGTTTAAACAGACAACATGAATTTTGTAATGATTCTAGATAATACCAACAGAAATTATTATATCGAGTTCTAGATCTAGTATTCAATATTAAACTTATGTTTAATTTTATGTGTTTATTCTAAGTATCAAAATATCATACTTAAAACTTAATCGGCAAAAATTGCAAAATTCGAAAAAATTGTGATCATTTAAAAAATGTATTTCTCAAAAACTAAAAGCGATTTTTCAAAACGGCTTGTTGCATTAAAAAGAGGATACTTTAATTATTAATCGGTGATATTTCCACAAGAATCCTTTAAGAAATGAATTTTATAGCGAATTTTGCAAGTTATCGATAAAAATTGCAACATCGAAAATTTTATTAAAACTTCAAATATTGTTTTCTTAAAAACTGAAAGCTATTTTTCAAAACGAGTTGGGTCATTGGAAAGAAGACACACTTATTAACACTTTGGGAAATTTTCATACTCATATTCCAAGAAATGGATTTTATACGAATTTTTAAAACTTAATCGGCGCAAATTGCAAAATTCGAAAAAATTTTCGATCATTTCAAAAATTTATTTCTCAAAAACTAAAAGCGATTTTTCAAAACGGCTTGTTGCATTAAAAAGAGGATACTTTAATTAATAATTGGTGATATTTCCACAAGGATCCTTCAAGAAATTAATTTTATAGCGAATTTTGAAAATTATCGATGAAAATTGCAACATCGAAAATTTTATCAAAACTTCAAATATTGTTTTCTCAAAAACTAAAAGTTATTTTTCAAAACGGGTTGGTTCATTGGAAAGAGGACACTTTTATTAACACTTTGGGAAATTTTCATACTCATATTCCAAGAACTGGATTTTATAAGAATTTTTAAAACTTAATCGGCGAAAATTGCAATATTCGAAAAAATTGTCGATTATTTCAAAAATTTATTTCTCAAAAACTAAAAGCGATTTTTCAAAACGGCTTGTTGCATTAAAAAGAGGATACTTTAATTAATAATAAGTGATATTTCCACAACGATCCTTCAAGAAATGAATTTTATAGCGTATTTTGCAAGTTATCGCTGAAAATTGTATCAAAACTTCAAATATTGTTTTCTCAAAAACTAAAAGTTATTTTTCAAAACGGGATGGTTCATTTTAAAGAAGACACTCTTATTAATACTTTGAGAAATTTTCATACTCATATTCCAAGAAATCGATTTTATACGAATTTTTAAAACTTAATCAGCGAAAATTGCAAATTTCAAAAAGTTGTGATCATTTCAAAAATTTATTTCTCAAAAACTAAAAGCGATTTTTCAAAACGGCATTAAAAAGAGGATACTTTAGTTAATAACTGGTGATATTTTCACAAGGATCTTTCAAGAAATTAATTTTATAGCGAATTTTGAAAAATTCGAAAAAATTGTCGATCATTTCAAAAATGTATTTCTCAAGAACTGAAAGTGATTTTTCAAAACTAGACGAAACAGTAACAAGACGTTTTTTGTATCGTATTGGAATTGTTACAATGAGGTTGCTAACAAACCTGATATAAATAAAGTTGTATTCAATGAAGAAAGTCCTATTGGGGTTGAACTTGATTATTATCTGCAATGTCCAAAACCTAAAAGAGATACTAATTCCTGTGAATGGTGGAATACTAGGTAATAGGTTTTTAATATTCGGCCAAAGCCGGATATTTGGTCAAAAAAATGGCCGGATTGCGATATTTTTTCTCAAAAGCTATCAGACGAAAAAATTTGAATTTTGAACAGGTACCATATTCCATATTGTTTCGCGGAAAATCATGGTTTAGTAAAACGCCGGTATGTCCAAACATCAGGCTGGGTATATTTCATCGCGAGACTAAAATATATCTCTCTAATTTTTTTTATAGCGCTTTAAACGAATTATAAATTAAACAGAAACAGAAATCGGAAAAGATGATGCGTTCCAAACAGTACGTCGCGCCTTTATCTTACCTACATAAAGAAATACAGGCGCGACGTCCTGTCTCTGGACCACACGCCACGACCTTCTTTTCCAATAGAACAGCACCCCTCTCGTCCCGGATGGCTTATTTCTGTTTCTTTTTAACTTATTCTATTTATAATTCGCTTAAATAGCTCCAACAAAATTAGAGAGACATAACTTTGAAAAAATGATAACGTGAATCGACAAACGTAATTATTTGACATATTTTGGTCAATTCCGCGTTTTTTTTTATCGAACGGTTGCGAAGATATCGATCTGTAAAGTGGGGGGCCTTGAGTTTTTAAATCGATAAAATGATTTAAATGCAATATACAAAAACAAATTTCCATAAAAACCAGAGCGTACCTACTTACTTTGTCTAACATAAAATGCGACATGTCTGAATGTTTCTTGTTCTTGTGAATTGTGTTAGTTCTAGTGACAGTGGTATTTTTTCTGTAATTTACTTTTAGTACCTAAATCGTTGAAATTAAGAAATTCTTATTTCATTTTATTTCAATCATTTACGTTAAACCATACAATTCTGTAAGTTGTATTTTGTCGCCTTCCTTTTGGAACACATTTCTTATGGAAGCTATGTTTATATTTTTTCACATTTCAAGTCTTATTTTGAAACGTTTTGCCGCAAACAAAGTAGTTCTATTAGCTCTATTCTTTTTGTCATTCTGTTTCTATCTCTAATACTGTCTTTTAGTCATACATTTTCTGAAATTTTTGCGATAATGTTACAAATGATAATCATAGTAGTAAGATACCTCATCTTGCCAAAGAAACCTGATTTGACCACATCGGATCGGCTAATTGATTTGACAAAAGAGAACCATTTGGGTTTATGGCATCATTTGCAATTGTATGCACTCTTGTATTTTGGTGGTGATCAGAATTTGATTCAATTTGAATACTATCATTTGCTTGTTAAACGATCATATTTTCTTTATTTCTAGCAAAACCTGTATTAGCGATCTCCTTTATCCAATATAATAAACAAATTTCCTCCTTTTCAGTTAAAATGTCCACTCTTATCCACTACATATTTAACATTACATATCCATATTATACATTTGAGATTAGAAACGTATTGTTCAATAACTCTCATTGTTTACCCTATGTATAATTATAAACACTGAATTTTAACGTTTTGAATAGCAAAAGTTCAAACTTCACACAAATTGATTTCAAAACATGATATAACAAAATTCCCTGTCATTAATCTTGTCAATATTACAACTACTAATACATGTACTTTTTTGTACTTAATTTTTGTTATTCACATTAAACACTCAACACATTCCGTTTACTTATTTTTTTTTTCTAGGTTAATTTAAATAGGTTCATAAAATCGTGTTGTGAATTAGTTAAAAGGCGACCCCAATCGTGATTTTAAAACTTAACACTGTTGAAATTATACAAAAAGGAGTACTAACATATTATAGTTATTTATACTATTGTTATATAGTATTGACATGCTAAAATCGCACGCCAAGCAGTTGTCGGGGTTCTTGTAGTAAATTTTTTAAGTTATTAAAGAATAGAACTTTGATACTCAATTCTAAGGAATAAACACAGCAATATTTTCTTTTGAAACCTTTGGCGATGTTTCCATTGTAAAGAAATTGTTATGTTAATTCAATTTTTTTTAAATTAAAACAAATTTGGATTAATTTTGTTAATTTCACTTCTTATTTTAAGCGAGTTACATCGTAATTGATCGATACGAGTCGTGTAACACATTATTTTAATAGTTTTAAACACTTTTCCGCATCTGTATGCCTTCTCAAGACATATTTACTGTTATATTATATGACTTTAAGAATATGAGTTTTGCAAATAATTTAAATTATTCGTACTATTCAAAAAACGCTTAGTTTTAATTATTTTTATTTTTGGGAAAAGAAAATGAAAAATTCTTTGTTGCATGTTAAGAAATTGAGAATGAGATGTAGAACGAAACCTTTTATCTTAAGAGTTGAGAGGGTTATCATCATTGAATGAATTGGTATGCTAAAACTGGTACAGTTATAATCTGTAACTGCTTCGAATTGGTCAGAAAGCTTTTTTGTATATTTTTTAAACTTAATTTTCGTTTCGAAATCGCTTGCATGTTTAATAACAATATCGAACTTGTTCTTTTTTTTTTTTTGGTTTCATTTTAAATTAAATAAAAAAAAGTTTTTACTTACCTAAATCATTAAAAAATATTAATTTTAACTCCTCCACTAAATGAAAATGTTACAGTTTAATTGAGAAATCTCATTTTTAACTTTTCAAACACTTTCCCCAATAAGAAAACGCACTGCTTTTACAATCATTTTAACTTTTTTTAAATTTCTTCAAACTTTTTGTAACGTTTTATATATTTTTTTTTATTAACTAGTTTGGATAGTTGATTTTGCTCGACTGCGCCTGGAAGTCCACAAGAAGTGTTTAAAGAAATCCTCGACGGTCGTTGTGACGATCAGAGGAGCTAACGAAAACGAAGCGGGGGAATTGGCCAAGAAGTGAACAAGTGGAGGACCCTTTCGTGCCAATTTTGGAGTCTCAGAGTCCATCTCTACTTTGTTCATTTTTTTATTCTTTTCGTTCCGTTGCCGAATAATGTTGCGAAACGTTAAGTGGAGAGTGGGTAAAAAGAACAGAAATGGGACCGGTTTTTTAAAAATTTTCTTTAAGGGGAAACTTGTATGCTTTATATCAAGGGTATTTAGGTTATTTAAAATAATTATTATGTTTGTAGAATACTTTTTTGCTATTTTCTAAGAATTTTTTTTATCTGGTTATTTTATACGACATAAAACAAATTGAGTAAGCACTTGAAATGGATGAGTAATATAATGTGATATGAAATTTAAAAAAATATAACTCAAAAAAATAATCTGAGTACATTAAAAAATATGTTATTGATATCTTAATCCTATTTACATCCTCTTTTCAATTATTAATTCCTCGCAAATTTTTATTTCAATCGAAAACCGTAAAAAAAATACAACATAGTAATAAATAAATGCTTTTCAGCATTTATATTATATAGAGTGGAACAAAAGTTTGGAAACGCCTAATTTCTCCTGAATTAGTAGCTAAATTTCCACAAAATTTGCTGTTGCAATATTTACTGTTATTCTGATACAGTTTGGCAAATCCATCTTGAAAGGCCAATTGCGCAGAAGAAGTGTTTATTAAATACTAAATAAATGTGCTTTAAATTGCTTCCTATTTCATAACGATATCTCAATTAGTTTTCGAGATACCTAAAGATAAATTTCCCTAACATTTATGTTTAAGATTATTCAAGGTTGCGTTCAAAAATTCATAACTCCGAAATTTGGAGTTTCCAAGAAATGATCTTCTAAATATTAAATACCAAATAAATTAGCTTTAATTTGCTTTTTATTTCATACCGATATCTCAATTAGTTTTTGAGATACGTAACGATTGATTACCCTGACATTTATGTTTAAAATTATGCAAGTTTGAGTGTAAAAACTCATAACTTTGAAATCTTAAGTTTCCAAGAAGTTGTCTTTAAAATATTAAACACTAAATAAATTTGCTTTAAATTGCTTTTTATTTCATAACGATATCTCAATTAGTTTTTGAGATACGTAAAGATAAATTTCCCTAACATTTATGTTTAAAATTATTCAAGGTTGCGTTAAAAAATTCATAACTCCGAAATTTGGAGTTTCCAAGAAATGATCTTCTAAATATTAAACACTAAATAAATTAGCTTTAATTTGCTTTTTATTTCACAACGATATCTCAATTAGTTTTTGAGATACGTAAAGATTAATTACCCTGACATTTATGTTTAAGATTATGTGAGGTTGAGTGTAAAAAGTCATAACTTTGAAATCTTCAGTTTCCAAGAAGTGATCTTTAAAATATTAAATGCTATATAAATTTGCTTTAAATTGCTTTCTATTTCATAACAATATCTCAATTAGTTTTCGAGATACGTCAACTTTAATTATTCTAACATTTACGTTTAAGATTATGCAAAGTTGAGTTCAAAAAGTCATAACTTTGAAATCTTAAGTTTCCAAGAAGTGATGTTTAAAATATTAAATGCTAAATAAATTTGCTCTAAATTGCTTTTTATTTCATAACGATATCTCAATTAGTTTTTGAGATATGTTAACTTTAATTATCCTAACATTTATATTTAAGGTTATGCAAGGTTAGATTCAAAAAATCGTAACTCCGAAATTTGAAGATTCCTAGATATGATCTTCAAAATATTAAATATTAAATAAATTTGCTTTAAATTACTCTTTATTTCATAACGATATCTCAATTAACTTTTGAGATACGTAAAAATTAATTATCCTAGCATTTATGTTTAAGATTATGCAAGGTTGGGTTCAAAATATCATAACTCCGAAGTTTAAAGATTCCAAAAAACGATCTTCAAAATATTAAATAATAAATAAATTACCTTTAAACTGCTTTTTATTTCATAACGATATCTCAATTAGTTTTTGAGATACGTAAAGATAAATTTCCCTAACATTTATGTTTAAGATTATTCACGGTTGCATTAAAAAATTCATAACTACGAAATTTTTAGTTTTTAAGAAATGATCTTCTAAATATCAAATACTAAATAAATTAGCTTTAATTTGCTTTTTATTTCATAACGATATCTCAATTAGTTTTTGCGATACGTAAAGATTAATTACCCTGACATTTATGTTTAAGATTATGTGAGGTTGAGTGTAAAAAGTCATAACTTTGAAATCTTAAGTTTCCAAGAAGTGATCTTTAAAATATTAAATACTAAATAAATTTGTTTTAAATTGCTTTCTATTTCATAACGATATCTCATCTCCTTTTTGAGATACGTAAAGATAAATTTTCCTAACATTTATATTTAAGATTATGCAAGGTTGCGTTAAAAAATTCATAACTCCGAAATTTGGAGTTTCCAAGAAATGATCTTCTAAATATCAAATACTAAATAAATTAGCTTTAATTTGTTTTTTATTTCATAACGATATCTCAAGTAGTTTTTGAGATACGCCAACTTTAATGATCCTAACATTTACGTTTAAGGTTATGCAAGGTTAAGTTCAAAAAGTCATAAGTTTGAAATCTTAAGTTTCCAAGAAGTGATCTTGAAAATATTAAATACTATATAAATTTGCTTTAAATTGCTTTCTATTTCATAACAATATCTCAATTAGTTTTCGAGATACGTCAACTTTAATTATCCTAACATTTACGTTTAAGATTATGCAAAGTTGAGTTCAAAAAGTCATAACTTTGAAATCTTAAGTTTCCAAGAAGTGATGTTTAAAATATTAAATGCTAAATAAATTTGCTCTAAATTGCTTTTTATTTCATAACGATATCTCAATTAGTTTTTGAGATATGTTAACTTTAATTATCCTAACATTTACATTTAAGATNAATTTGGAGTTTCCAAGAAATGATCTTCTAAATATTAAATACTAAATAAATTAGCTTTAATTTGCTTTTTATTTCATAACGATATCTCAATTAGTTTTTGAGATACGTAAAGATTAATTACCCTGACATTTATGTTTAAGATTATGAGAGGTTGAGTTCAAAATATCATAACTCCGAAGTTTAAAGATTCCAAAAAACGATCTTCAAAATATTAAATACTAAATAAATTTGCTTTAAACTGCTTTTTATTTCATAACGATATCTCAATTAGTTTTTGAGATACGTAAAGATTAATTACCCTGACATTTATGTTTAAAATTATGCGAGGTTGAGTGTAAAAAGACATAACTTTGAAATCTTAAGTTGCCAAGAAGTTGTCTTTAAAATATTAAACACTAAATAAATTTGCTTTAAATTACTCTTTATTTCATAACGGTATCTCAATTAACTTTTGAGATACGTAAAGATTAATTATCCTAGCATTTATGTTTAAGATTATGCAAAGTTGGGTTCAAAAAATCATAACTCCGAAGTTTGAAGATTTCCAGAAATGATCTTCAAAGTATTAAATGCTAAAGATATTTGCTTTAAAATGCTTTTTATTTCATAACGATATCTCAATTAGTTTTTGAGATGCGTCAATATAAATTGGACTAACATTTATGTTTAAGATTATGCAAGGTTGGATTCAAAATATCATAACTCCGAAGGTTGAAGATTCCAAGAAAGGCTTTTCAAAATATTAAATACTAAATAAATGTACTCTAAATTGCTTTTTATTTCATAACGATATCTCAATTGGGTTTTCGAGATACGTCAACTTTAATTATCCTAGCATTTATATTTAAGGTTATGCAAGGTTGGATTCAAAAAATCGTAACTCCGAAATTTGAAGATTCCTAGAAATGATCTTTAAAATATTAAATAAATTTGCTTTAAATTGCTTTCTATTTCATAACGATATCTAAATTAGTTTTTGAGATATGTCAACTTTAATTATCCTAACATGTACGTTTAAGATTATGCAAAGTTGAGTTCAAAAAGTCATAACTTTGAAATCTTACGTTTCCAAGAAGTGACTTTTAAAATAATAAATATTACATAAATTTGCTTTAAATTGCTTTTTATTTCATAACGATATCTCAATTAGTTTTTGAGATACGGCAATATAAATTATCTAACATTTATGTTTAAGATTATGTAAGGTTGGGTTCAACAAGTTATAACTTTCAAATCTTAAGTTTTTAAGAAGTGATCTTTAAAATATTAAATACTACATAAATTTGCTTTAAATTGCTTTGTATTTCATAACGATATCTCAATTAGTTTTCGAGATACGTCAACTTTAAGTATCCTGACATTTACGTTTAAGATTATGCAAAGTTGAGTTCAAAAAGTCATAACTTTGAAATCTTAAGTTTCCAAGAAATGATCTTTAAAATATTAAATATTAAATAAATTTGTTTTAAATTGCTTTCTATTTCCTAACGATATCTCAATTAGTTTTGGAGATACATCAACTTTAATTATCCTAACATTTACGTTTAAGATTATGTAAGGTTAATTTCAAAAAGTTATAACTTTCAAATCTTAAATTTCCAAGAAGTGATCTTTAAAGTATTAAATACTAAATAAATTTGCTTTAAATTGCTTTTTATTTCATAACGATATCTCAATTAGTTTTTGAGATACGTCAACTTTAACTATCCTAACGTTTACGTTTAAGATTATGCAAAGTTGAGTTCAAAAAGTCATAACTTTGAAATCTTAAGTTTCCAAGAAATGATCTTTAAAATATTAAATACTAAATGAATTTGCTTTAAATTGCTTTTTATTTCGTAACGATATCTAAATTTGTTTTTGAGATACGTCATCATAAATTGTTCTAACATTTATGTTTAAAATTATGCAAGGTTAAGTTCAAAAAGTCATAACTTTGAAATCTTAAGTTTCCAAGAAATGATCTTTAAAATATTAAATAAATTTGCTTTAAATTGCTTTCTATTTCATAACGATATCTCAATTAGTTTTTGAGATACGTCAACTTTAATTATCCTAACATTTACGTTTAAGATTATGCAAAGTTAAGTTCAAAAAGTCATAACTTTGAAATCTTAAGTTTCCAAGAAATGATCTTTAAAATATTAAATATTAAATAAATTTACTTTAAATTGCTTTTTATTTTATAACGATATCTCAATTAGTTTTTGAGATACATCATCTTTAATTATCCTAACATTTACGTTTAAGGTTATGCTAGGTTAAGTTCAAAAAGTCATAAGTTTGAAATCTTAAGTTTCCAAGAAGTGATCTTTAAAATATTAAATACTAAGTAAATTTGCTTTAAATTGCTTTTTATTTCATAACGATATCTCAATTGGTTTTTGAGATACGTCAACTTTAATTATCCTAACATTTACGGTTAAGATTATGTAAGGTTGGGTTCAAGTCATAACTTTGAAATCTTAAGTTTCCAAGAAGTGATGTTTAAAATATTAAATGCTAAATAAATTTGCTCTAAATTGCTTTTTATTTCATAACGATATCTCAATTAGTTTTTGAGATATGTTAACTTTAATTATCCTAACATTTACATTTAAGATTATGCAAGGTTAAATGCAAAAAGTCATAACTTTGAAATCTTAAGCTTTCGAGAAATTATCTTTAAAATATTAAATACTATATAAATTTGCTTTAAATTGCTTTTTATTTCATACCGATATCTCAATTAGTTTTTGAGATACATCAACTTTAATTATCCTAACATTTACGTTTAAGGTTATGCAAGGTTAAATTCAAAAAGTCATAACTTTGAAATCTTAAGTTTCCAAGAAGTGATCTTTAAAATATTAAATACTAAATAAATTTGCTTTAAATTGCTTTCTATTTCATAACGATATCTCAATTAGTTTTCGAGATACGTCAACTTTAATTATCCTAACATTTACGTTTAAGATTATGCAAAGTTGAGTTCAAAAGGTCATAACTTTGAAATCTTAAGTTTCCAAGAAGTGATCTTTAAAATATTAAATACTAAATAAATTTGCTTTAAATTGCTTTTTATTTCATAACGATATCTCAATTAGTTTTCGAGATACGTCAACAAATTATCCTACCATTTATGTTTAATATAATGCAAGGTTGAATTTAAAAAGTCATAACTTCAAAATCTGAAGTTTCCAAGAAATGATCTTGAAAACATTAAATACTAAATAAATTTGCTTTAAATTGCCTTTTATTTCATAACGATATCTCAATTGGTTTTTGAGATACGTCAACTTTAATTATCCTAACATTTACGGTTAAGATTATGTAAGGTTGGGTTCAAAAAGTTATAACTTTCAAATCTTAAATTTCCAAGAAGTGATCTTTAAAGTATTAAAAACTACATAAATTTGCTTTAAATTGCTTTGTATTTCATAACGATATCTCAATTAGTTTTTGAGATACGTCAACTTTAAGTATCCTAACATTTACGTTTAAGATTAAGCAAAGTTGAGTTCAAAAAGTCATAACTTTGAAACCTTAAGTTTCCAAGAAATGATCTTTAAAATATTAAATACTAAATAAATTTGCTTTAAATTGCTTTTTATTTCATAACGATATCTCAATTAGTTTTTGAGATACGCAACGATAAATTACAGTTACCCCATCACTAATGTTTATGGTTATGGTTAGGATGAATTAGAAAAAATATTACTCTCAAATCTGAAGATTTGAAAAAACCATCTTCGAAATGTTAAATACTATGTAAATATGCTTTAAATTGCTGTTTATTTCATGATGATATCTCAATTCGTTCATGAGATACAATTTTTTAAAGTTTATATTTCATATCTACAACAATGAAACATGCAGAGTTGGATTTAAAAAATCATATCAACGACGTTTATGGAAAATAAGAATTATTTATGGCACATTTAATCTTCATCAAATTTGCTTTAAAAAGTTCTTTATTTCATAATGATATCTCCTTTCATTCTTGAGATACAGGTTTTTAAAGTTTATATTTCATATTTATTATAATCAAACATGCAGCGTTTGATTTAACAAATCATAAAAAAAGCAAATAATAAATTATTTATGGTGCATTAAATCTTCATTAAATTTGTTTTAAAACGACTTTTATTTTACCTTTAAATCTCCATTCGTACTTGAGATGTGATTCTTTGAATTCCTAAAATCTGAAACATATGTGACGTGTTAAGTTAGGTCTAAAAAGTCGTAACAATGAAATTTATGGAATCATTTGTAGTACATTTAATCTTCATTAAATTTGCTTTAAAATGTTTTCTAAATCATCGTTATACCTCAATTCGTTCTTGAGATACGATGCTTTAAATTTCTTTTTCTTATATCTGCAATAATCAAATATATCAAGTTGGGTTTTAGAAATAATAACAACTATGTTTATGGAAATGAAGAAATTTTTTATGGCACTTTGAATCTGTGTTAAATTTGCTTTAAAATGCTGTTAATTTCGTCGTTATATCTTAAGTGGTTTTTCAGATACGATATTTTAATTGATGGAATCTAATTAATAAAGCTATAAGCGTAATTGATGTAGCAGTTGTAACGTTTTTGCAGAGTACACTTTCATAATGTTCAGAATTGTATATTCTTAGTATACAGTCTGGTTCTAGCAAGCAATATGTTGATTTTGTAAAGTCTATTTTATCAGGATTTAGAAAGGTTTCTTAGTTTATTTTTTATCTTATTTTACATCACAAATTTTTGCAATGTATACACTAATACTTTTGTTGAGGACTGTACAACAGACCTTCTCCTACCAAGATAGATTTGGCAAGCTGTACCTGTACTATTAGGAATTTTGAAATGTAACTACTCTTGTTGAAACAATATCTGATTCAAACTGATTTCAAACAGCTTTGAGCTTTTCTAGGTTACATTTCTATTAATTTTGAAGTGTAAATGTCATTTAATGAAAAAGTTGTCATTGTAAATTATAAAACTTTTCAGTGCGTAATCAAATTGTTACTTTTTATTAATTATTTATAAATTACTTTTTTCAGAAATTTTTGCGATAGGTTAAGTAAAACATTTGAGATGGATAATTAATGTAATTTGTTATGAAGACTTAAAAAAAACTCATTAAAACATGGTTTAAATAATAAAAGTAGAGGAAGACATTTAAAGTGTTTTTTTTTCTTGTACTACTTTTTATAACTGTTACAAATTTATAGCTTGAGGCATGAGTTATGCACGAAGATCAACAAAAAAAAATTAACCCAAAATGATCTTTAGACACACACATATACTTGAAAGAATAAATTGTTGTTGATTGACATACAATGTTTAAAAAAAATTTACCGTTTTACAAATCCTTTCTAGACAGCAAAAATAACCATTTTAAATATTGTGATAAATCGATTCAATTACGATTCTATTTTTCTTGTTAAAACGTTATTAAAAGATAAGATTCGGTAGATTTGTTAATAGAAAACTTATTAGACAACAAATAAACATCCTTTCATGATTAAAAAATGCGTATATATATACACTTCCAAAGATAACGTTGATATCGAGTTGATATAAAACGATAAAATCGATAAATCATTTTCCAAAAAACATTTCAAACCTGTCAAGATGAGTACGACGAGTACATCCTTTAGAAAAACAACGAATGCTGTTAAAAAAAGTGTCAGTTTTTTAAAGAATAACTTGGAAATGGCCGAATTAAGAGCTAACAGAAAAAATAATTTAGAACCTTTAAGGTAATTATATTATTATTATAAAATTAGGTTTAAAAATGTTGTTATTTTACTATATTTAAATGAATACAAATATTCGATATTGTTGATAGGCAATAAAAACAATTCTGATAAATATTAATAGTTTTGAAATGTTATGTATACAAAACAGGTAAATAAAAACTTGTGCATCTGATGACGCACGGCTAAACCCGAAACTTTCTAGTTCTAGGTCTAGTGTTAGTTATAGTTTTAATTGTTATTCATCGCTAGAGGCCATCAATAAAAATATGGAACACAGTGATATTTTCTGTTAACTAGCGCTACTTACCACTGTCATTAGAACTAACACTAGACCTAAAACTAGAAACATTCGGATTTAGCCGCACGTCTCTCAAGACGGCTAAACCCGAATGATTCTAGTTCTATGTCTTGTGTTAGTTCTAGTAATAGTACTAGTGTAAAATTAAAACTAACACTAGACCGAAAACTAGAAACATTCGGGTTTAGCCGCACGTCTCTCAAGACGGCTATACCCGAATGATTCTAGTTCTAGGTCTTGTGTTAGTTCTAGTAACAGTGCTAGTGCTACACTACAACGAACACTAAACCGAAAACTAGAAACATTCGGATTTAGCCACGTCTCTCAAGACGGCTAACCCCGAATGTTTCTATTTCTTGGTCTAGTGTTAGTTGTAGTGATAGTGCTACTGTAAAACTAGAACTAACATTAGACCTAGAATTAGAAACATTCGGGTTTAGCCGCACGTCTCTCAAGACGGCTAAACCGGAATGATTCTAGTTCTAGGTCTAGTTTTAGTTCAATAAAAATATGGAACACAGTGATATTTTCTGTTAACTAGCGCTACTTACCACTGTCACTAGAACTAACACAAGACCTAGAACTAGAATCATTCGGGTTTAGCCGCACGTCTCTCAAGACGGCTAAACCCGAATGTTTCTAGTTCTAGGTCTAGTGTTAGTTCTAATGCTAATGTTAGTTTTAGTTGTTATTCCGCGTTAGATTCTTGTATATTACTAGAACTAACACTAGACCTAGAAAGTATCGGGTTCCTATAGTAGATACATGCTATGTGGGTAGATTTGCAGTCTGGTATGCAACTTCAAAATTAATATAAATATAAAAATGTACAGTTACACTAAAATAAAATGAGATTGAATTAAGATTGAGAATTCACGACCATGTCAACTTGACACTTATCCGTTAAAAAAAGACAATTTCAACATCAAATTGGACATTTATCCTGATAATTGACATTCAAGGACATTAAGTTGAGACCTTCTTTAATACTCAGTTAATAAATGTTTTTTTTATTGAAGGAACAACAGCTGATATCAAATTTAATAATAATACAGCTTGACAAATCTCTCTATCTTGGCCGGTGAAGGTGAAATGTGCCATTGCAAAAGATGGGCAGTACCCACGTAGCTCTTTTTTCTGTTTATACAATACTCAACAAAAGTATTGCCAAGTGTATATATTGCCAAATGTTTAAGATAAAAATAAAGTAAGTCTAAATCGTCATAAAGTAGACTTTGTAAAATCCACAATCCTCGTAACTCCGTATAAAACTAAAAATGACATATTAATTCCTGGAACTAGACTTTTTACTAAGTGTCTATTTTTACTAAGTGTCTGATTAAGCTCTGAAAGTTACTTAGTGGTAACATTAGAAGAGATCAAAGTAAGTCTACACTACCAAAGTGTAGTCTGCAAAAAATTACAACTGCTACATCAATTAAACGAGTTGTTGATGGTGGAGGAACTGACAAATTGATAGAATCCGCGCTTATAGATTTATTTATTAATTTCAAAGCATTAAAATAGCGTATCTCGAGAACCACTTGAGATGAAACGACGAAATTAATAATTTAATTAATTAATAATTTGCATTTTAAAGTAAATTTAATACAAATTCAAATAGCCATAAAAAATTTCTTAATGTCCATAAAGATAATTGTTATTATTTTTAAGACCCATCTTGGCATACTTGATTATTGTAGATTTTAAAAAGAAATATAAAACATCGTATCTCAAGTACAGATTGAGTAATAACGATGATTGACAAAACATTTTAAAACCAATTTATTGATGATTAAATGTACTACAAATGATTTTCTGCGTATAAACTCTGCATATTTGATTCTAATAAATATGAAATATAAATTTTAATATTATATTATATTAATATTTTATTTTATATTATATTATATTAATATTTTAATTGTATCTCAAAAACTAACTGACATATCGTTATGAAATAAAACAGCAATTTAAAGCAAATTTATTTAGTATTTAATATTTTAAAGATAATTTCTTGGAAACTTGAGATTTCAAAGTTATGACTTTTTGAACGCAACCTTGCATAATCTTAATCATAAGTGTTAGTGCAATTTATATTATATAAGCATTTTATTGTTTTTTTGATATTTACAATTTTCCCCTTAATACATTCTAATATATCTTATAAATATATTATTTTCACCCTCTACCCTCTTCCTCCATTTCCATACCCTCGGCTCCTCGGCCCAATCATCCCCTCATCCTTCCCTTTGTCTCCTTACCCCCACAACCATTCTCATCCATCGTTTCCCCTCTCCCCCCTCTCCTAAGATCTGCCCTCGGTCCAACTCCTCCTCCCTCAACTCACTGCACCCATTCAACATATGTTCCAACGTTTCCCATTCCTCCCTGCATAGCCTACACCACCTCTCCTCATCGGCCATCCAGTATCTGTTAGCTCTCTCCTCGTTTCCACAACGGAACCTAGCCACCAACTTCTTCCCTTCCTCATCTCCTTCCAATAACAAGTATCTAGGCAGCCCCTCCGTAATTATGTCCCTGTACCTTTCGTTATACCTCCCCTCTTTTATTTGTGTCCTTCTTTCCTGTCTCTGCACATCTCGGTCCCTATCTCTCAACTCCCTCCACATCTCCCTACCCACCCTTCGTCTACTATTTATCTCAGTTACCGAGTAGCCCGCTCGTCTATAATAGTTGTCTCTGTCTCCTTTCCCATATCTGATCTTTCCCTCTCTAATTTCCCTCCAACACTCCCCCAAGATCCCGCAGTTTGGCCTCCCTTCTATTCTTTCTTCATATTTCACTGCTCTCCTGCCCGCCTCCACTCTGACCTTATCCACCTTTACCTCTTCCCTCACTATATACCCCGGTGTTTCTCTCGCCACCCCAAGCACCCATCTCCAGTATCTAGCTTGCACGTCCTCCAGCATTGCCTGCTCTCTCCATCCCCATACCTCTGCTCCATACATCATCACACTGCTAACCAGACCTTCAAACATAATCTTCCTCGCTGCCACATTCCTTCCAAAGACTCTCTTCCCCCAACCCCATACTTGTCCCATCACCTTATTCGCCTTTTTTGCCATAGCTATCACATGCGACCCCTCCCTGTTGTCCTCCCTGAACACATACCCCAAGTAAGTATACTCCCTAACCTCCTCGATCTCTTTTTCCTCCCATCTCCAGTTTTCTGTTCTTTTTCTCCCACCCTTACAAAACTTCATCATCCTTGTCTTCCCAACATTCACTTCCAGCCCCTTCCCCGTAAAATATCTTTCCAATGTCTTTATCATATCTTTCATCTCCGCCGCTTCTCTCGCCATGACCACGATGTCATCCGCGTATGCTAACATATGCACCTTTCTACCTCCCACCACCAACTCTCCCATTTGCCCCTTCCCCAATCTATCCTCCAGGTCCGCCGTATACAGTGCAAACAGACTTGGGCTCAGCGGACATCCCTGCCTCAGTCCCTTCGTCGTCCAGAACACGTCGCTCAGCTTATCTCCCACTTTTATCCTAGCCATAGTCTCCATGTATATTTCCTTCACTCTCGCAATTAGGTGTTCCGTGATCTCTCTCCTCCCCATCTCCTCCCACAACTTTCCCCTATCCACCTTATCAAAAGCCGCCTTCAAATCTATAAACAGGGCGTACAATTTCCCTCCCTTCTTATCCAGCTCTCTATCTGCCAGATGCTTCAGCACGTACACGGTGCAATTTATATTGAGGTATCTGAAAAACTAATTGAGATATCGTTATGAAATAAAAAGCAATTTAAAGCAAATTTATTTAGCATTTAATATTTAGAAGATCATTTCTGGGAATCTTCAAACTTCGGAGTTATGAGTTTTTGCGCCCAACCTTGTATAACCTTAAACATAAATGTTTGGATAATTAATCTTTACGTATCTCAAAAACTAATTGAGATATCGTTATGAAATAAAAACCAATTTAAAGCAAATTTATTCAGTATTTAATATTTTGAAAAGCCTTTCTTGGAATCTTCAACCTTCGGAGTTATGATATTTTGAACCCAACCTTGCATAATCTTAAACATAAATGTTAGTCCAATTTATATTGACGTATCTCAAAAACTAATTGAGATATCGTTATGAAATAAAAAGCATTTTAAAGCAAATATCTTTAGCATTTAATACTTTGAAGATCATTTCTGGAAATCTTCAAACTTCGGAGTTATGATTTTTTGAACCCAACCTTGTATAATCTTAAACATAAATATTAGGGTAATTAATCTTTACGTATCTCAAAAACTAATTGAGATATCGTTATGAAATAAAAACCAATTTAAAGCAAATCTATTTAGTATTTAATATTTTGAAGATCATATCTAGGAATCTTCAAATTTCGGAGTTACGATTTGTTGAATCCAACCTTGCATAACTTTAAACATAAATGTTAGGATAATTAATCTTTACGTATCTCAAAACCCAATTGACATATCGTTATGAAATAAAAAGCAATTTAGAGTACATTTATTTAGTATTTAATATTTTGAAAATCGTTTTTTGGAATCTTCAACCTTCGGAGTTATGATATTTTGAACCCAACCTTGCATAATCTTAAACATAAATGTTAGTCCAATTTATATTGACGTATCTCAAAAATGAATTGAGATATCGTTATGAAATAAAAAGCAATTTAAAGCAAATATCTTTAGCATTTAATACTTTAAAGATCATTTTTTGGAATCTTCAGATTTCAAAGTTATGACTTTTTGATCGCAACCTTGTATAATCTTAAACATAAATATTAGGGTAATTGATCTTTACGTATCTCAAAAACTAATTGAGATATCGTTATGAAATAAAAAGCACTTTAAAGCAAATTTATTTAGTATTTAATATTTTGAAGATCATTTCTGGAAATCTTCAAACTTCGGAGTTATGATTTTTTGAACCGAACTTTGCATAATCTTAAACATAAATGCTAGGATAATTAATCTTTACGTATCTCAAAAGTTAATTGAGATATCGTTATGAAATAAAGAGTAATTTTAAAGCAAATTTATTTAGTATTTAATATTTTCAAATACGTTACTTGGAATCGTCAAATTACAGAGTTATGACTTTTTGAGTAACAACCTTAAACATAAATTTGATTAACATTCATTACAAAATCCATTTTACCGGTAGCTTTAAGAATTTAAATTTGATTTAAACACGTCAATGATTAAAATTTTTGTACTTTTGTACTGGTTTTATTGTTAATACAAATCTGCTTTACATGTTTCGACCTTATTGGGTCAACTTCAGAAGCGCTACAATTAATGACAATAAGATTTTGTTATAAAATTACTATGTACTAAAGTTAACTTACTTGTCGTTAGACAAATAAAAGTTGGTGTTCAAAACTTTATATATATCGTAAATTTTTGGCAAATCAAATACAAATTGCTAATGTAAAACACAAAGTAAATGTAAAGCTTAAGTTTAAAAATGTAGAAATTACACGTTAAAATAAAATAAATTACAATTACGACGTTACAATGAAAAGATACAAAATAAAATGGTTGAAATGCAAGAAATAACCACTTTTAGTTTGTTCGAGAGACCAGAATAACAAATAACCAATGCGCATGTTAAAATTTAACAAAATTAATCATCAAATTAACTATTTTATTAAATTTATTTAATTCATTTTTTTTTAATAACATAATTGAATTGTATTTAACAAATTAATTTAATTAATTCCGTACAAAAAGTAATTAAATTAATTGAAAAGTAAAAAAAAAATAAGATAACCTTATCTAAACAATAAAAATAAGTGTTAAAAATGTTATTTTTATCAAAGATTTTTTTTTTTAGGCCTCAATCAACGAAAGCTTTAGAAGATTTAGTTCAATGTCCAATATGTTTAGAAACGTATCAATCGCCTAAAATGTTACCGTGCCAACATACATTTTGCTTATCATGTTTACAACATCACGTTGTGGGAGTTGAAAGTCAATCGAAAGAGGTTGTTCTAAAATGCCCCTCTTGTAAATTTGAATTAACTGTAGACGGTTATGATGGAATCGAAAAATTACCAGAAAATTTTTATATAAATTCCTTATTAAAAGTTCTTGAAAGTTCCGTTGAACCGCAATCTCCTTATGCTGGAAAACCCGATATACGATGCGTTAAATGCGAAACGATTTCGGATTTTGATGGAACGAAATGTCAGCATTGTAAACAAATTTTTTGCAAAGTTTGTTGGAGTAAACATATGAATGAACTGGAGGAAAATTTAAAAGATATGTTGAAACAATTAGAAGACGGCGAAATTCGTATGAATTATAAAATGGAGGAAATGACACGTAGAAATGATCAATTAGTTGTGACCGTTAAAGAACACGCAGAAAATAAAGTTTTAGAAATAAAGAAAAAAGAAGTTAAGGCGTTGGAACAAATCGAAAAGCTTCGTGTCGAAGAAACCGAAGCTTCTTCAATTACTTTTACGAAACTACAAGACCTACAAGCAAAATTAAAAAGTATCAATTTTAAAGTTTTAGATGAAAATCAACAAGTTTCACTTTTCATGTCTTTACATCGCAACATTTCTACAGCTTTGGAAGAAGTTTCTCAATGGGGTGAATGCAGAACTGTTTTTGATCCGGAAACGTTTCGCCTTGAAGAAGACAACGAAGGACTTAACCCGGAAGTTGATGACTCAATACTTAACTTAAAAATCAATCCAGATCCGTTTGAAAGTATTGAATCTTTAACGAAACATTACAAAGCAAGATCATTTCATCCTAAAGTGTACACAAATAAATTTCCGAGACTTACAGGAGTTTCAATTTCTCCATGGTCTCATCATTATTACATTGCGGCACCTGATAGTAAATCAATTGTTATAATGAACAGACAAAAAAATAAATTAATCGGAAGATTAACATCACCGGATATATTATGTCCTAGAGCGATCACATTCAGTAAACAAAAGAAAGAAATTTATGTTAGCGATAAATGGAAACATTGCGTACATATTTTTTCTAGTAATGGCGAATATGTGCGTAATATTTGTACGAAAGGTACTGGAAGTGGTAGATTAACATCGCCGGAAGGCATTGCGATTACAGAAGATGATGAATTGCTTGTTTGCGATACAGGAAACGATAGGGTTGTTATGATGGATGATAAGGGAAAGGAAATCAGATCGATCGGATGGAATGAGAAAAGAACAATCTTAAATATGCCCACTTCAGTCGCAATTACTCACGATAATAAGATTGTTGTTGCCGATAATGGAAATCATAGAATTAAGGTTTTTAATTTTAACGGAGACTTATTATTAGAATTTGGTTCTTTAGGCAGAGAAAAGCGTCAATTTCGATCTGCTGAAGTTGTAGCTGTTGATTCGCTTGGTTTTATTTGGGTTGGCGATGCAGGAAATGGCCGGATACAAATTTTTGATTCCAATGGAAACTTAGTACGTATTTTTGGCGGTCTTGGTGAAGGGCAAGGAAAATTTAAATGGATTTCCGGTTTAGCAATTACTTCTCAATTAGAAGTCATCGTTACCGATCATAAAAACAGAAGTTTACAAATATTTTAGAAATTAATTTCTTAACCTCTTTTTAATTAATTAGGTGTAATTTTAATAAAAAGGAAAACTTGAAAAACAAAGAGTGTTTTACTCGGTTTGTGTGTGTGTTCGGATTTATTTAATAGAGAAAGCGAGCTCGGCATAATTGCGTCAAGCTAAAACAGCATTCGAAACGGTATCATCGTATATGTAAGTGTGTAGAAAATGTTTTAATAAAAGAATCGTCGCGCGCGTTAGAACCGGAATTCGGTGCGTATTTCTACGTGGTTTGGGTGTGAATTTTATTTTGTTTCGAAAGTACTTATTTGGCACGGTTAAAAAATTAGCAATTTAGCAAAACCGGACTTTTAGACAAACAATGTACTACGTGCTGGTAAGATATTTTATTTTGAAATATAACCGTAATTTTAAAATATCGTTTTTATTTATTTAATAAATGAAAATAAAAGATCCTCTTAATTCAGTATAAGCTGTTGTTACCTACACCCACCATCATTAGTATTGAGGGGACCAGCTCCTCTCGTCACCGCGACCAATAGGATCTATTGTAGGTAATTTAAGCCTTCCAACAGTTTACAGCAAATGTACAGTGTGTTAATTAATTATCGTACCCGACGTCATCATTGCAAGTATGCAACCAATATCACAGTATTTTTATTGCAATACGCGATTTGCGTATGATGCGTATTGCACTGTGATATTGGTTGCATACTTGCAATGATGACGTCGGGTACGATAATTAATTAACACACTATAGGCACAGAATAACCAGAAGTGGCAGTATCCCGCCAAATCTGACGACATATTATAGCGAGTTACCAAGGTATGTTGCTATTGGTGGTAAAGATTTGGCGAGATACCGCTAGTGTCACTTCTGGTTCACGTCTCTTAAGACGGCTAAACCCAAATGATTCTAGTTCTACTATATAATCTAATATACGTACTTTTCTAATACGTATATTTAACCTTTCAACTATGTATTTCAATAAAAATATACAAGCTTAATAACAATTAAAACTAGAATTAACACTAGACTTAGAACTAGAAACATTGGGGTTTAGCCATCTTGAGAGATGTGCGGCTAAATCCGAATGTTTCTAGTTCTAGGTCTAACACTGCATAACAATTAACACTAGAACTAACACTGAAGACGCACGGTTAAACCCGAAACTTTCTAGTTCTAGGTTTAGTGTTAGTTCTAGTTTTACACTAACACTGTTACCATGTAGAATTAACACTATACCTAGAACTAGAATCATTTGGGTTTAGCCGGACGTCTCTAAAGAGGGCTAAACCCGAATGATTCTAGTTCTAAGTATAGTGTTAGTTCTAGTTTTACACTAGTATTATTACTAAAAGTAACACTATACCTAGAACTAGAATCATATGGGTTTAGCCACCCGTCTTTAAAGACGGCTAAACCTGAATGATTCTAGTTCTAAGTATAGTGTTAGTTCTAATTTTACACTTGTACTGTCACTAGAACTAACATTAGACCTGGAACTAGAATCATTTGGGTTTAGCCGTACATCTCTTAAGACGTCTAAATGCTTAAGACGTACGGCTAAACCCAAATGTTTCTAGTTCCAGGTCGAGCACTGCATAACAATTAAAACTAGAAATGTTAGTATATAGAATTTACACTATATCTAGAACTAGAATCATTTGGGTTTAGCCGCACGTCTCTAAAGACGGCTAAACCCGAATGATTCTAGTTCTAAGTATAGTGTTAGTTCTAGTTTTATAGTAGTACTATCACTAACAGTAACATGATACCTAGAACTAGAATCATATGAGTTTAGCCACCCGTCTTTAAAGACGGCTAAACCTAAATGATTCTAGTTCTAGATATAGTGTTAGTTCTAGTTTTACACTTGTACCGTCACTACAGCTAACATTAGACCTGGAACTAGACACATTTGGGTTTAGCCGTACATCTCTTAAGACGACTAAACCCGAATGATTCTAGTTCTAGGTCTAGCAATGCATAACAATTAAAACTAGAACTGTTACTATATAGAATTTACACTATATCTAGAACTAGAATCATTTGGGTTTAGCCGCACGTCTATAAAGACGGCTAAACTCGAACGATTCTAGTTCTAGGTATATTGTTAGTTCTAGTTTTACACTTGTACTGTCACTAGAACTAACATTAGACCTGGAACTAGAAACATTTGGGTTTAGCCGTACGTCTCTTAAAACGGCTAAACCCGAATGATTCCAGTTCTAGGTCTAGCACTGCATAACAATTAAAACTAGAACTGTTACTATATAGAATTTACACTATGTCTATATTTTATATCTGATTTTCGGTCACCAGTCTCTTCTTCTCGCTCCGCCAAGATGGTCATGTCTATGTCGTAATACCTCATTTGTTTCGTTTTCATGAAAATTTTTATTTGTACTCAACTAAAGTTTTTTATATTGTAAGTTGTTTTCATGATAGTTTAACTTTAACTGATTTGCTTCATTATTTTTTAGATTGCATTATAACTTTTTATACGCATCATGTCTCATGTTTCCTCCATTTTGATCTTTTACGAATTTAACGATATTTTTCCGAATATTATATAAGATTTAAATTGTTCACTTTTCAAAAACGTTTCAACATTTCAAAATGTTTTTTCCTATGATTACATCTGTTAGCTTCACTTATTGACAGTGAGTATTTTGTTTGTTTCTTTTTGTATATTTTTTTATATTTTATAAGATAAATTAATTGCAATATTTCCTACTTCTATATAGTTTCCGGCTGAGGATGGAGTTGTAAACTTCGAAACCGGTCCCGATTAAAATATTTCCGCAAGTGCGAAGTTCACATATTTTGTTTTATTTTCATATTCAAAAATTTTTACTTGTAACATGGATATTTATAATAACCCGAATGATTCTAGTTCTAAGTATAGTGTTAGTTCTAGTTTTACACTTGTACTGTCGTTAGAACTAACATTAGACCTGGAACTAGAAACATTTGGGTTTAGCCGTACGTCTCTTTAGACGGCTAAACCCGAATGATTCCAGTTCTAGGTTTAGCACTGCATAACAATTAAAACTAGAATTGTTACTATATAGAATTTACACTATATCTAGAACTAGAATCATTTGGGTTTAGCCGCACGTCTCTAAAGACGGCTAAACCCAAATGATTCTAGTTCTAAGTATAGTGTTAGTTCTAGTTTTATAGTAGTACTATCACTAAAAGTAACACTATACCTAGAACTAGAATCATATGGGTTTAGCCACCCGTCTTTAAAGACCGCTAAACCCGAATGATTCTAGTTCTAGGTATAGTGTTAGTTCTAGTTTTACACTTGTACTGTCACTAGAACTAACATTAGACCTGGAACTAGAAACATTTGGGTTTAGCCGTACGTCTCTTAAGACGGCTAAACCCGAATGATTCTAGTTCTAGGTCTAACACTGCATAACAATTAAAACTAGAACTGTTACTATATAGAATTTACACTATATCTAGAACTAGAATCATTTGGGTTTAGCCGCACGTCTCTAAAGACGGCTAAACCTGAATGATTCTAGTTCTAGGTATAGTGTTAGTTCTAGTTTTACACTAGTACTATCACTAAAAGTATAGTCTCCGGTTTTTCTGGTGGTTTTTATGACTTAATAGCAGTCATATAACGAACAAAGAAAGGGTTGTGAACAGGTAGTTGACGAACCCCAATCTCCGGCGTGAGTTGTTCAGGTCCGCATTAACGGAAATTACAAAAACATAATATTTAAAAACAATATTAATATAATTTGTGAGGAATATAATAAAATTTCATCGGAATTGTGGTCGCAGTGCATAAAACACGTAAAAGATGTCGAAGATTCGTATGTGTCGCTACATGTACAGCGTTTTATTATTAGTGTTGATGATTCTTCTGATAACGACAGCTTAGAATGCGCGGAAAGTGACAACTGTTATGACACTGATGAAGAATGTTGAATTAACGACAATCGCCGGTTAGAAATGTTAAATAATTCATATTGAAATAAAATAAAAAAAAGAAGTGCGTCCCTGGACCTAATTCGCTAGGAGGGCGTGTCATAAATCACGATCAGGTACTTTTTCGGGGTGATAATTACTGCTGCTTCTATTTCTGAGGGTCATAAAACCACCAGAAAAATCGGAGACTATAACACTATACCTAGGACTAGAATCGCACGTCTCTAAAGACCTTATACATAATAACCTTATACAGTATGTTTACTCAACGGACCTTGATTCTGTGCTTTTCATAAGATGGCAGATTTTAAATCGAGGTCACAAAGCAAGATGCCGCCAACATCAAATGAATCGACGTCAGTGTCATTTCTGGTTATTCTGTGCTATAGGTCCTTTATGAACCTTAGTATTGTCCTAAGGTCCTGTTCTTTTATGTCGGTAGGTGTCAGGCGAACTTTACCGAAAATTTTGTGTCTTAGGCGGCCTCTGGCGATACATTCACACAGTCGACAAGTTTGATCCTCAACTTGTTCAATATGGAAGAGGTGGTATTTCAGGGGTGCATGGCCGGTCAGAAAACCTGCCTTCTTAAAAACCTTAATATTATATCAACTAGGTCATAATGGGCTTTATGCAGGTTTTATAAATTCCTATTTTGCTATCTGTTCGCAGGTATTGATTTGATCAATAGTGTCTCTTAAACATCGTAACAGGACTGCTGCTTTATTTGGGTACATTAATATCAAAAGCGACCATCTCCAAAAAAACAAACACAAAAATAAGGAAAGCAAAAACAAGTGTTCAAACATTTTACAACTGTTTTAGTTTTGGCTTAATATTTAAGATCATCATTATGTATGAGTCAAAATGAAATATTTCAGACATTTTTCTCAAAATTTTGAATTTAAGTTGGAATTTGGCCGGTTTTGACACTTTTTTGATTTTATTTTTTTCTTTTACTTTATTTGTGTTCAATAACAACTCGAAAATTATCAGAGTGATCACTAACTTAAAGAATAAAACAGAAATACATTGCGCAACGCATTAAAGGATCTACTAAATTCTTGTTTTAGTTTCTTCCGGGGTCTTTTCAAAAAGAATATTCTCTTCTACAGTAAACTCTTCCTCGCCCGGTTTATTTCTAGAAGCCATTTGGGAAAAGTAAATTTCATAGAATTATGACGCTGTTTCACATAAGAACCTCCAGAAACGATGCCCTTCGCAAAGGAACCTAAAGTACTATGAATAAAAATAAAATGAACAAACTAATTATGAACAAAAATAAGCAATTGATAGTATATTATCATATGAGCATATAATGAGGGCTATTATTCACGAAGGTTAAGTAGGCATAATTAACCTGAGTGAATAATAGCTCATTATATGCGAGTAGAATACTATACTTTGTCCACGACTATTGAAATTGATTCCATAAATTTATTTTTTAAATAAAGGTTAAACGTCAATGTGACACAAATTCAATGTTACTAACTGTAACCAACTTCACAACAATTTATCAAAATTAAATGTCAGTTTTATAAAACGTCGTTTTCTTTAGGAAAATTAATTAATTTATGCTTAAATCATACGAAAAAAGGAATTTGTTTAGGTTTTTTTAATGTCAAACATTTAGAAACTCCTAAAAAATTGAATTAAATTGACGTTTTTTGAACTTTTAACGTTTCAAATAATTATTATTAGTCTGGTCAAGATGGCTACCCGTGGATAATGATTATTATTCACCGCTATTATTCACTCCGTGAAAAATGACTACCATTTTGTTTTAGAAAACTCATTCATAAGGTATATATTATAAGGTAGTCGTG